TTCCCAGTGATGGTTACTCTGTAGTAGAAACGTTGTCTATTTTCCCCCATATCCCCATCCCACTGTGATGTTTCTGATTTTTTCCTAAGAGGAGTTTTGCTCTAAAACAAGATGGGCCCGTTTTGTTGTATTTTCCTTTCCTCTGCGCTGTGTGTATGGACGACTATTTCTCTAGCATTGTCTCTCATAATTAAACATTTTTTCCAATTCCCTGGTGTCATTTGGACATCTGTTCTTTATGTTTCTAATCCACAGTTGCAAGTTAACAAGGGTATGAAAATACCCAGCCCTTGGCCATAGGAAATTGCCTGGTTTATGTATAGATTTAATGATGGGTAGTCCCAGGAACAAAAGACAGAGCAAAATGATAAATCTAAACTTTAGATAATTCCTTCTAAGGAAGCCAACTGTATTGTAGATTAGTATCTGTGTCTACCTGAAAAATTAAGGCAGCATTTTGTAATTAAGAAACTGGCTTAATTACAGTGGTACCTCGGGTTACATACGCTTCAGATTACATACGCTTCAGGTTACAGACTCCGCTAACCCAGAAATAGTGCTTCAGGTTAAGAACTTTGCTTCAGGATGAGAACAGAAATTGTACTCCGGCGGCACGGCAGCAGCAGGGGGCCCCATTAGCTAAAGTGGTGCTTCAGGTTAAGAACAGTTTCAGGTTAAGTACGGACCTCCAGAACGAATTAAGTACTTGACCCGAGGTACCACTGCACTTAAAAGTAAAATATTGACTGTCTCAGATGGCATCTTTGTCTTTAGGCCTATCTACTGATGAATAACCTATACATTCTCACCTTTGTCTAATGGAAGGAGTAGCATATGTTAAATGTTTCACTGCTCTGCTGCTTAAAGTTCAGGTGGTCAGTCATTAGTGGTCCTTGACTAGCTGGAATACCAGTATACCATGTATGTACTCAATTTAACAGAAGTACATAATTCCCCCAAAACTCAACTTCTCTCTCTCTCGTGTACACACACACACACACACACACTTTTTTCTAGTCCTTATGATCACCGCTTCCTCTTGCCAGAAAACTGCAATGATCTCTCATCACACATAATTTATACTGGTTACAGAGCACAGCTTCTCTTGCTGCAGAATTTGGGGTTCTATCACTGCTGAATTTTGATTCCTTTAGCAAAGCGCCTGCAGCCCTGCCCGTATATATTATCAAGAAGGCTATGATTACAAAACCACCTTGGTTAAAAGAACATCGAGTTTAAGTGATGTAAGCCACCTTGTTAAAAAATTGTATTAGAAAGGTGGGATATGCATTGTCATATAAATAAAAATAAAGCTAATGAGCTTAGAGGGATTTCACTTCTAGCCCAATCCTGCACATGCTCACTTAGAATTAAATTGTATTTTGATCAATGGGGCTTAGTGTCAGGTGGGTGCAGAACTGCAGCTAAAGTCTTGAAAGTTAGTCAAGTAGAAAGTAGCCTGTTATCTATCCTGTCACAAGAAAATCCAAAGGGAAAGTGGTTAATGGAAAATATATTAGCAACCTGTTGATTTAAAAAATTGCTTTAGAGAGATGCTGAGATGTTGGATACTTTCTCAACATTTACAGATTTTAAAAAAAACAAACCCAAAAAAATTCAACACTAGCAGTCTGAAGAAATACAGGTGTGCGTGTCTCTCTCTCCCCCCCCCCCCCCACTTAGGCAAGAGTTATATTCTGGGCTCCCACACACATTTCTGAAATCCTATAAAGTGAGGAAAACGCTTTAAGCACCCTCTGCTACACTCTCTTCAATCCATACAAAAAATACTGTATCCAAAAATACCCACAGCTAGAACTAAAGCCAGCAGCAGGCTGAAGTGGCGGCTGTGTTACCCTGCACATCAGTTAGGCGGGAAGGTTGAGCAGCATAAACAGCTCCTCTGCACCTCCAGTCTCTCTGGGGCTTCCTGCATCCTCTCTTCAGGCTCCTTGTGAGTCACAAGCACTCTCCAGCTCTCTCATTTCTAGGTTTGAAACAATTTATTTCCTGGCACCTAGCGTATATGCAGTTGCACGCAAGTCAGATGCCATGTTAGTGGGAGGATGCCTGTATATATTAGTACCAATAAAAGCAAGCTTTAAGTTCAGGTGTTTCAGGGCTGCTCTGATTCTTGTTTCAGAGTGCTCTGAGAGTGTCGAACGTGTACAACTTTTGGGATGAAACTGAGGCAACTCATATCACATTGGTAACCAAGCATGGGCCGGGTGGTTTGTGGTCTTGTCTATGCAAAAGCATGAGGGGCTGTGAGCCTGCCATTTGAAGGTGACGCCTTGTCTAGTGCACCACCTAACATCATTTCTTTGTATGTTTCCCTTCTGTTGCAAGGACCTGGGTGTCCTGGTTAGGGAGTAGTAACTACTTGTACTGGAGTTTACATTTTCAATTATTTATTCATTCTATAAACTGGTGATTGCAGGATTCACACATGCTTTATAGGTCAAAAAAAAATCTGTTTTGCCTGTAGTGAGATTAATGTCATTGTTTCTACATAACTCCTTCATTTCAAAGACTTGTTATTAATGACAGGTTCTTGTTTATTTGCAAGACAAATTACAACACCAACATCAAGAGAAAAAGTAATGTTTAAAAACACAAAATCAACAATAAACAGATGTAAAATTTATCACAAATCAGTAGATCTGATGCATCAGCACAGCTGAATCTACCTTTAGGCAGGGCCTGTGCAAACAGGTGAGTGGCAGGTTCCTAAATGCCAGTATTATATGTGCCTGCCTGATATTAATTGGAAGCACATTCTAAAGGACAGGTAGCTGCTGTGCTAAAGCCTCTGGTCTTAGTAGACATAAGACCAATCTCAGGAGCATCCAGCACTGTTTCTTCTGGCGATCAAAGTCACCAGGTGGGAGTATACAACAGGGGTCTGCAACCTTTAAGACTGGACCCGTTTCGACAACAACTGGGAAGCGCAAACATTGCGCATTTAAACAATAGATCTTGGAGCCGCGTCTACAGGGCGGAAGTGACGTGGGACGTGCTGCAACAGCCCCCCCATGCGACGTCAAGCTAAGCCCCCCACAGTGAGAGTGTCGGGCGCACATGCGCCTCTCCCTCGTAGTATCGCCCAGCCGGCAAAGATGTAAGAGCCCTCGGTCCGAAGCGGGTTGCACCCTGGTTTACAAGGTAGGTGCTCATAGCTGTATAACTAGGCTGTAGCTTTGTATGTCAACGAAACCTTAATTTGGCTGCCTTTTTCATACAGGTGTTATTTGCTGTTGGCAGGGCACCTCCTTTAACAGCTTTGCGCAACGTTTCCCCCCAAACTAATTACACAATCCACTTCTGGACTTTTCTGGCATTTTGGTTGGCCCTATTGCTATGTTGTGTTGATTTGTTGGGGGGGACGGGACGACAGTTGCTGTGCAGATTTAAGATGCTGTAGCCTTCATTCTATTTTTCTAGAGAAACACAGAAACTGAACTTCTGTTGAGAATTTCAGACAAAACGAGGACCATTGTCCCTGATTTCTCTAGCTAACAGCAACTCATTGAACTCCAGTTCCCACAATTCTGGGAGGAGAGGGCTATTAAATAAAAGAAAGTGTGTCTGGCTGTTAACCAGAAGGTTGGTGGTTCAAGACCACCCAGGGATGGCCGTGGGCAGGATTCCTGCATCACAGGGAGTTGGACTAGATGACTCTCGCGGTCCTTTCCAACTCTTAAGATTCTATTACATGTTTGGAGCGGTGGGGTGGTGGCGTCCTATGCAGAAAGCAAACCGTAAATACTGCCTATACTCCCAAAAAGCATCTGCAGAACACAGGAAGCATTCTGATTTCATTTTATTCTTTTACACGTTGCTAAAGGTAGCATCTAGAACTTTTAAGCACCAATTATTTCAGTGTAAAGTATGCAAGCGACGGGTGTAACTATAAGGGGGGTCCGCTGCTCAGCCTCTGTGGCCGCGTAAACCTGTGCAAAAGAAACGGGACTGCGATCCCAGTTGGCACTGTTCTTTCTCTGCACATCTATGCCAGCTCCGATTGGTCGACTCCCGAGGGTGCGCCCGCAAAGGGATGTCGGCGTTATAGAACTAGACAAAGTGAAGAGCCACCAACGCCGCAGCTGTTCGTGACATTCCCTAACAGCGCAATCAATGTTATTGAGTTTTCCCCTTTGCTCTCCAATGCAAGGCATAGGGACCGATCCTATACACACCTGGGAGTTAAATCCGTCGAATTCAGCAAGTCTCGCTTCGGCGGAGGCGCCCCTTCGCCAACCTGGTGCCCTGCCATCAGCTCATTGATTTAATTTCCGTTATTCACTCCTGGGACGAAACTGAGAGCTGCCCGTACAAAGTAATGCAGATATTCTAGATTTTAGAGTTTCATACTGGGCAGAAGTGAGGCAGCGGTCAAGACGGGAGTTCTTGCTCGTTCTAACTGGGATCTTATTTCATGTGTTAAATGATGTTTGTGCGTATTTATTATATATATATTCATGAAAACCTGCTGCGACAATAAACATAAGGAAATAAACAGGGTGTTGCAGGACTCTTTTACGTCTAAACTTCTGGGCTGGTCTTGTGTGTTGGTTCCGCATAGGCAGCACATTGCAATTTCCAATTCCCGATTCTCAAAATATCTACGGTCGATCTCTGACTGACATGCCGGCACAAGCTCTATCCCATTATAAAGATCACTTCAGGGGAGCTAGTGAACGTGCGAGACGAAAAGCAACGCCAGGATGAAGGAGCACCGGAGAGACCCGCGTACTTTCCTATGATACACCCTGCTTCTGCCAAGCCGCCAGCGAAAAAAACCGGAAGTCAAGGCTGCGTGAAACGCCCACTTTCCCTATCTCGGCGGCCTCCGTGCGTCTCGACATCCCTCCCATAGACTACCCTTGGTCTCACATCAGTTCCATCTCAATTATCTCTATGATGCCGGAAGTAGCGGTCATAGAAGCGGTAGCAGAAGAAGGGTGCGGGCGGAAGTGGGCGAGCGCTGGAGGCGGAAGTTGCGGGAGGTGAGCTTCCGCTTCCGTTTTGCGGAGAGTCCTCCCGGCGCCGCCGCCGCCACTGCTGCCGCTTCTACCCTGTCCGCCGGGAGAGGCCCGGAGCCCCCGCGAGGGCCATAGAGAGGGGCTGGGGTAGAGCGGTCTCCCTCCCCCTTGATCTCTGGGCATTGCCAGGGAGACGAGGGAGTCCGGGGCGGAGTCCTCCCTCAGGCTGGGCCAGGCCGAGGTTTCTCCAAAGGGACGGAGCCGTCGCCTCTGCCCGCTCCCTCCGTCCCCGCTGCCCGCCTGACCCGGAATCCAGCGTGACGCCTCACCCCAGGTAGCCTTTGCCCAAGGAAGCTGCTCTGAACTCTGACCCGCCGGCCCCGGAGTGATCTCTGACCTTCCTGCCTGCGTGACCTTTGAACCCAGCCCCCTACCCGATCCAAGTGCCCCCCGCCTCACGATCGCTGTTGGAAACCCCTCTTGGCCCGGGAAAGCCCCACTCCTGAATCCCTCCCCCCTCGGTGGCCTGGCAAGCTCCCTCCACCGGCGGCGCTTGCAACCCCCCAACTTGTCAAGATCCCCCCGTTTTCCAAAGGAGACCCCTGGCGATGCCCCCTGGCTGGGGGAAGTGGGGAGGCGGAAGCACCTTCTCTGGACCCTGAGGCTCTTGGGGGTGATACTGCTGCTGACTCCTTCGCCCGCCTAGAGCCTCTACTCACCTGGGGCTCATAAAAGTGTGACCAAGAGAAAGTTGCCCGGAGGATCTGCGGAAGAAGGGACACTGAGATCGTTGTGCCCAGGTGAGTGGCTGCTTGTCTGTAGGCGAACATGGCTGGGAGGTGGTGGAGGCCAGCCAGGAGGCTGTGTGGCAGCAACCCATATGCCCTTTCCTTTTTCCGGGCTGTTAGATTTCCTTTCTGCCCTTTCATTTCAAACCACCCAAGATCAGCTCACGGGACAGGCGTGTCCTGCAAGAGTGAGTGGGAGAGGGATTGCTCTCTGGCATCTCTGGAGTGAGGCCGGCCCCGTGAATGCAAGATGAGTTATGTTGCCGCCAAGTTGTTGGGAAGGAATTGATTCAGTGGTTCTCCGTTAAAATAGAAGGATTAGCACCTGCTGACTTCCAGCAAATTGATAGTGGGGCTTTATTATTTTTATCTTTGTTTATTGAATTTATATACTGCCCAATACCCAGAGGTCTCAGGGCAGTTCACAGAACAAAATCAAAATATAAAACCACAAAATATATAATCAAAATTAAAACAAGAACCCAATGACACCCCCCAGCACATTTTAAAAAGAATACAGAATATTAATGAATTCCAGGATTGCTTTGGCGGGGGGGAGCACCTGTTAGAGGTTAGAAAATTATGAATGGTGTTGAGAGAGAAGAAAGATAACTTATACTCTTTTCTCTGAAGTACTAGAAAAGTAATTGAAAGAAATTGCTGCTCTCAACCAACAATCAAAGAAATACTGTTTTCTGCTATATGTTCATTACAAAGTGTGCTGGCGGTCTGCTTTTTGGTGGCTTTAGCACAGTGTTCAAAATTTCCCAGGCACGTTTTGCTACTGGGATGTATCCAATTGCGACTACGTGGAGATTTCTGGGGGCCAGGTTGGCGACCACAGTTTAAAACCTCTGCCTTGGTCCATAGTTAATACCATTTCCATTTCCACTTTGTGTGTTTCTCTTTCTTGTATACTGGGCCAAGTGAATTGTTGTAAGAGCAAGCTACAGTCAAGCAAGGTACTTGAGGTCATAGAAGTGTAGCATTGGAAGGGAGCCTGAGGGTCATCTAGTCCAACCCCCAGCAAATAGACAGTCCGAGTATACGAGGTTTAAGGTGCCATTTGGTACCAAACTTATACATTTGAGTTTCCAACGCTGCTTTTGCACAATGCAAACAACAGAATTTGTTTCCAGAAGATGTGGCCAATGAGCCAGGCAGCTTGAAGAAAGGATAAAGCTGTCAAAGGGTGGCTGTACTGGCTTCAGGATCAGGATTTGTATGCCTCTGAATGCCAGGTGCTGGGGATCGCAAGCAGGAGAGTGAAAAGATACCTGTGTCCTGCTTTGGGCTTCCCATAAGCCTGCGAGTGGCCATGGTGAGAGAGAGAGAGAGAGAGGATGCTGAGCTAGGTAGGCCTGTGGTTTGATCCTTTTAGAGCAGGCTTCCTCAACCTCAGTACTCCAGATGTTTTGAGACTACAATTCCCATTATCCCTGACCACTGGTCCTGCTAGCTAGGGATCATGGGAGTTGTAGGTCAAAAACATCTGGAGGGCTGAGATTGAAGAAGCCTGCTTCAGAGTTCTTCGTACATTCACTGAAAAACCTGTCAGCGATTGCTGGCCAATAATGATGATGGAACCTCCCTTGGCAGAGATAACAAACCTTTTGTTAACTAGATGCTGTGGATGAGCAACAGGGGACACTTGTCCTGGGACACATGGCTGTCTATTGTTGGAGATGGAATGGTAGGCTCCAGCAAAGGGAATATTGTGTGATTTTTCAGCTTTTCAGAGCTACAGGAAGCTTAAGCTTGTTCCTTGTGAAATCTTTGCTTCTGAAGCAATTTTGGGTGGGGCAGGGGAGGCTATACTTTGGCCACTTGCTCTTTCATCCAAGCAAGCTCCTCTGCCTGTATAAACACCTGGATTTTCTTTCTTTCTTTTTTTACTTCTTTACTTTCTAGCTTGGTTCTCATCCTGGATGCAGGAGTGGGACCCTTTGCCTATCAGCGCTGGCTTTGCCACGAAGCCTGTTGTTCTGGTGCTTGAGTTTTCAAGGTGAGGAGTAGGAGGAAGAGAAATTGGAGCGTGGCCTGTTCCTGCTTTCTGCCTCACTCCCCCAGGCCTAATGCGTAGAAGCCGCCCCTGCGGTTTTGTTGTGGGTACTTGTAGCAAAGCAAAGGTGCTCTGTGCATATGCCAAGTTCCTCTTTTTTATTATTATATCTTGCAGTGGTAAGGCCTTGTTTAAAATTAGAGGAGGCATGAAAGTAGGGCAGGCGACTTGGGATTGGACAGGTGAGACAGAAGAGATTTAATGGTCATTGGGAAAGATGCATGTCTTGGGGCAGGCAAAGGTACAGAACTGTAAGACCAGAATTGATTTTCCAGCTGTCTGACTTTGAACTATTTTAGGGTCACTCCTAACTGTTTTGCTTTTATGTATTTTGTGTTCTCTTTTTGTTTTTTTTTATGTTGTGAATGAACCACCCTGTGATCTTTGGATGAAGGGCAGTGTACAAATTTAATAAATAATAATAATGTTTGGCTCCTGCTGTGAGCACTAGAAATTTGTGTTGCTTTCTCAAGGCGAATTCTTGGGAGTGCATTCCACCATCTGGCTGCTCCTGTTTGCTTTCGTAGACCCACAATTCTGCTTTGGTTCTTCTTTTGCCAGCTTTCATTGGGGCCTGTGAGATTTTGGCTATGTATGCTTACTAGCTGATTAGACACAAAATGGAAAGGTGATCTTACAAGGTGAATTAACAACCCACAATTTTTTTTAAAAAAAAACTAACATATTTTTAAAATAACATTACAGTGGGACCTCAGGTTACATATGCTTCAGGTTACATACGCTTCAGGTTACAGACTCCGCTAACCCAGAAATAGTGCTTCAGGCTAAGAACTTTGCTTCAGGATGAGAACAGAAATTGTGCTCCGGCGGCACGGCGGCAGCAGGAGGCCCCATTAGCTAAAGTGGTGCTTCAGGTTAAGAACAGTTTCAGGTTAAGAACGGACCTCCGGAATGAATTAAGTTAATGAGGTTAAATTTGGCATGTTAAGCCAACATGTATAATCTTTTGAAACTAAATCAGTGTGACCCACTGTCAGATAGTGGCTAGATTCAGGATAGGAACAGAGGAAGTTGCCTTGTACTGAGTCAGACTATCGGTTCATTTAGCTCAGCATTATTGGCAGAGTGACAGCAGCTTTCTAGGGTTTCAGACAGGAGAAGAGTTTGGAGGATTGTCTGAATACAGCTATTGAGTCCGAGGAGACACGAATAAATACTTTTCTGAGTTCCAGCATTATAAATTGTGACATCATGGGTCATATGGTTGTGAGTGATGGGACAGATTTCCCTAAAAGACTTGGATACCAGATTCCTCCCCTACCCCACAATAATTTCTGCAGTTAGTAAATGTAGATAACTAAATCCTTGAAGTCTTCACCTGGGTGCGAGACAGCTTATCAGTGTAATACTGCAGGCTGACTCAGTTTCCTGGCCAGGAACCACCTGGGAGAAGAACCATCATGTAGTACAAAGGAAGGTAATGGGCAATTGGCACAGTTACCCTGTGCCAGGCAGCAGAGGAGTGTGAGCTCCTCCTCCCATGAGGGGGTGGTGAGCAGAAACAAACGCCAGGTTCAGAATTTCGATATTTGATGATGTAAGCTGGGAGGAGGAGTTCCAAGTGGGCAGTGGGTGGTGTCATAGGCTGGAGGGGAAAAAATGTGGCATTTTTAAAACAAGGTTTGAAAAGGCGAGAGGGCAGGAGGAGAACTCCATGCGAGGCTGGCCGGGAGAGGCTGTCTGCTTTTGACTCAAGCTTGCTGAACTTATGAGGGGAGCATCTACAACAACAATTTTTTACTTGTATCCTGCCCACCCGAGTGGGTTGCCCCAGCCACTCTGGGTGACTTCCAACAGAATATAAAAGAACACATGACACATCAGACATTGAAAGCTTCCCAAAACAGAGCTGCCTTCAGATGTCTGTGGAAGGTTGTATAATTATTTCTTTGACATCTGACAGGAGGGCATTCCACAGGGCGGGCGCCACTACTGAGAAGGCCCTCTGCCTGGTTCCTGATAAACGAGAGACACTCTTGGGGTGTAATGTTCTGCACTTCCTCCATCAAAACCCAAGTGTAAATATGTGTAAATAAACCATATTTCTGAAAGACACTGCAGTCTCTGCTGTGCCTCACTCCAAAGGAACAAAAACCCTGGTTAACACCAAGACCCCTGGCATCTCATGGATCACTCGGCAGAGATTGGAGTGGCCAGTAATGATATATTATGATGTTGCTATGACTGGATGTCAGAGGCCAGTAAGTTATTGCTGGCTCTGAGATGGCTCCAGGAACGCCATTATGGGTTTTGCTGAGAGACCACCCACTTGTGCCCACCTGGTTGATTGTGTGTACTGTTTTCACACTTCGTAAACCTGTAGTTTACTCACTTTATGAATATTTACTCTAAACAAATAAGAAGCAAATACAAACTGCTCTGCCTAGTAATTTAGTACCAGCACTTGGTTCTGGGCACCTTGTTATCTCTAAACAGGCAGAGATGCATGGCATGCAAGCAGCTTGCAGACCACTTCTGGATTGTTAACTACCTTTACATTTCTAGGGCAGGGGTAGCAGTGTGGTCAGGCAGGCGAGTTGAGCAATGTAGGCGAAGGAGAAGTGAAACAGAAAAAAGCAACTCCAGAAAGCATTCTACCCTGCCAGACTGTGTAAATGCACTCTTTAGTTGCAAATTAGTTGCTTTACTGGTTAGGTTATTGTAACTTAAGAAGATCCTTGTGGGATCAGGCCCAAGTGACTAAGATGCTTCTAAGAAGCCCACAGGCAGGTCATGGAGGCAATAGCGTTCGCCCACATGTCATGACAATGACAGCTCAGTTAGATGAAGCTGCCCTCCTTCTGCCTGTCCTCACACCCTTTTAAGGGCAAGTTGTGGCACTGAACTCTGTGACTTAGGTGTGCATTGTATGCAGAGAGAGGTATTTCCTTTGTCTGCCCTGGATAATCCAAGAGTTCGATTACTGATTCTTGTACAGTGGTACCTCCGGTTACGAACTTAATTCGTAACTTAATCCGTTCTTAACCTGAAACCGTGCTTAACATGAGGTGCGCTTTTGCTAATGGAGCCTCCCGCTGCTACCGTGCCGCTGGCATGCGACTTCCGCTTGCATCCTGGGGCAAAGTTTGCAAGCAGGATCATCTACTTCCAGGTTAGCGGAGCTCATTACCCAAAGCATTCGTAAGGAGAATGGTACGTAACCCAAGGTTCCACGGTACACCACTTAGAGATATTTTTATATATTGAGCGGTATGTAAAAGGTATATTATTATTATTATTATTATTATTATTATTATTATTATTATTAAAGCGTCTCTTACCATGTCCACTAAAGCTTGAGTGAAATTTCCCTCCTGTAACTCAAACCCACCAGATCTAGTCTGGACCTCTAAAGCAGCAGAGAAACAAGTCTTTGCCTCCATCCATACTTGAAGAGTGATATCAAGACAAAATATGCCCACTTCCTTTCACCTTTCCTCATAGGGTTTGTTTTCCATCCCATTCCCCATTCTTCCTTCCCCTCCCCTGGACCTGTTCCGATCTGTTTTCTCCTTTCTTACTGAAGAACACAGGTGTATCAGTCACCAGAACTAGAGAGAGGATGTAAGCTTCACTAAGGAGCAAATTTTGGTAGGTCTCAAGAGAATTATTGTGGGTTTTTTACTTGCATATGCTTCTCTGTGGCATTATTTGTATCCTGCCCTTCCTCTGAGATGCACAGAGAGGTGGGGTAGGGTTGACGCTTCTTCATGGCCAAACTAGGGCATAACTTGCATTTCTCACATACAAACCCAACAGTTGAGTGATTGTGTTGGTTTTGTATCATTCTGTTTCTGATAATGGCCAGATTGAGAACAAGGCAGGAAATCCATCCACGTGCACTTCTTTTATTAGGCACTGTCCACATATCTTCGTCTCTCCCTTAGGGACTAGAAACTTGAAAGAAAATTATGAGGACATGGGGTTCTACATCCAGTACAAATTTCTCCCTTCGCAGTTACAGAATGCAGACATCTGTGGCTGCTTAGTGCAATTCAAAGCGCAAGTGAAATAAGTTCTGCCAGAAAGAAAATCAAATTCTGTGTGTAGAACAAACTACCCCAGCTTCCATGTGGAAAAGTCCTTGCTCTGTGTAAAGCTGTTCAGAAGCTACTTCATCCACAGCACAGCTCTCACAAAACTTGGTGGACTTTTATCTTCTTGCTGTTGGAATGAGTGGCACGACACTAAGGGAGGAGCAATTATGTGGGTCAGTGATGTGCAGCTGAAGAGCCTGGAGAGACAAATAATAGCAGAGACTAAAGCAGTACAAAGCACAGAAATTTCTCTTTTTAAAAAAAAGAAAAAGAAAAAGCTTTTTATTGGTTTTTCATTTAATACCAACAAACAAATTACAATAATATTCAACAGTCGTTTACCCACATTCTTTCCCAACACTCTGGTGAGCATTGACTTCCCTCCCTCCCTTCAACAGGTTTTCTTGCTTCAGTCACCTTACCCCCAGTTTCTTCTTATATCCAGTCAGTCTACGTCGTAAGATTTATTTCAGTCCTGCCAGAGACTTCAGATTTCTACAGTTATTATTTATATAGTCCATAAATTTACTCCAATCTCTTTGGAATTTTGTTTCCTCCTGATTTCGGATCTCGCAGGTCAGTTTTGCTAGTTCCGCATAATCCACCATCTTCGTCTGCCACTCCTCTATTGTTGGTAAATCTGGTACTTTCCATTTTGGGGCTAACAAAGTTCTGGCAGCAGTCGTAGCATACATAAATAAATAACCTTTGATCTCCTTTTTCTATTTCCTCTCCCATCAAGCCTAGCAAAAAAGCTTCTGGCTTTTTTGGGAAAGTGTATTTGAATATCTTTTTCAATTCGTTATAAATCAGTTCCCAAAACTGTTTCGTTTTCTCACATGTCCACCACATGTGGTAAAAATCTCCATCTTTATCTTCACATTTCCAGCATGTCTTACTACTCATCTTATACATTCTCGCTAATTTAACAGGTGTCAAATACCAGCGATACATCATTTTCATTATATTCTCTCTTAAGGTGGTTCATGCTATAAATTTTATATTCTCATTCCACAGTTTTACTCAAGCGTCATACTCAATGTTGTACCCAAATTCCATTGCAAGGTACAGAAATTTCTCACAGACATTGCATGCATTCAAATATATACAGTGGTACCTCGGGTTAAGTACTTAATTCGTTCCGGAGGTCCGTACTTAACCTGAAACTGTTCTTACCCTGAAGCACCACTTTAGCTAATGGGGCCTCCTGCTGCTGCCGTGCCGCCACCGCACAATTTCTGTTCTCATCCTGAAGCAAAGTTCTTAACCTGAGGTACTATTTCTGGGTTAGCGGAGTCTGTAACCTGAAGCGTATGTAACCTGAATCGTATGTAACCCGAGGTACCACTATAGGAGCATCCATTATTTTACCATCATGTATTCCTCCCCCACCCCCACCCCTTTCAAGTCTAGATTGGCTTGCAAGGCAGATCACAATTAAAAGGGTTATGTTGAGGTGTGGCAGAGGCCGCTGGTAATACTGTCAGGGTTCGCCTCCAGAGAGAAAGAAGGCGAAAAGAATTTCAGGTGGACTAAGAAGCCGACTGATAACAAACTCGTAGAAGCAGCCTTTCTCTTAATTCATGAGGTCTAGCAACTTGCTAATTTAAAAAACCCTGACATTCTTTCTAGGACCTCCGTGGATCACCGCATTCTATGTTGGATGCAAGATTCTACACATGCTTTCCTATGAAGTTAGACCGCTGGTCCATCTAACGCAGATGGCAGCAGCGGTTTTCTATGGTGTCAGGCTGGAGTGAAAACAGACAGGAGGCAGGGCTCAGACAGATGCCTTTGTCCGAGCGGGAAGCATCATTGCAGTCAGTTTGCTGGTTAACTTGAAAAATCTGGAGTCTAATTGGATTGTAATCCCTGCTGTCTACAGTAAGGATACAGTGATTTAGTGGCACTGTTTCATCTAAACTCCCACAATGAATTCATGAGTACCACCCCCCCCCACATCCAACCAGTTATTTTCCTCTTTTCGTCAAGGAAAACTATTTTATCTCTCTCCAGTTATCTGCAAACGTCACTTGGATTTGCAATACCATGTTTTTCATTGTTTAAGAGTTTTCATCAAATGCGAGACACGGGCAGGGGTGGATTCTCTTATCCCAGAGGCTTTGTTAGTAGTCCAAGTAATCATTCCGTCCTCTTGCCAGACTGGGATGCAGGAGGAGGAAGGCAGGGCAGAAGGGAGATTTTAAAAAATGATGGCGGGGAAACAAGTGCCCGTAACCAGAGGCTTTCGGCCCATTTCCCTTAGCAAAAGTAGCCGTCCTTGGAAACTGTTCGGTAGGGAGTGTGAAGGAGGGAGGGCCTTTGCCAAAGATGTGTTCTTTGTGAGGGTATTTCTAGTTGGGGTTCTGGCCAAGTTCAGAGTCATTGGGATGAACGCAGGTGGGGGGGGCAGTGGATCGGGTTTGTTCAGGGAAGCTTTAACCCACCTTTCCACACAGTTGAAGCAACAGAACTCAGTCTTGAATAAAAGAGGAGACAATGTGGAGTAGTGGTTAGAGCAGGGGTTGCCAACAGGGCACTCACCAGACATTGTTGGGCTCCCAGCTTCAGGGATAATGGAAATTCTAGTCCAGAAACATCTGGAGGGCATCATGTAGGCTGTGCCTGGCTTGAACCCTTGAGTTGGGGGAGTCTTGAGTTCAAATCCTCACTCATCCGTGGACTTGAGTAGGTGAGCTGGGACCAGTCACTACCTGTCAGCCTGACTTACCTCACAGGGTTGTGGTGAGAGGGCAGAGAGCCCACTGCCCTGAGCTCCTTGGAGAAAAGGGCAAAGGATAAGCATAATAAATGTCAGAACCACTACACCATACTTTCTCAGTGGATTTCCTTCTAACCGTTAAGAAATCAGTGCTTGGCTAAAGTTGATGTTGAATAAATCTTTCTACATCGGGGATGGGGAATATGTGGCTCTCTGGATGTTGTCATTTTGGTGGCTTATTATATAACTGGTTATTCCTTTTCTCTTACAGGTTGATGGATAAAATAATTATGGCCTTTCTTTCCAACTTTAATAACTTTTCTTTACAAAATTGTAAGCTATCTTTAACAAAGCCCCCCTTGGGATCCTTGAAAAGTCCCCTTTTACTGAGATCTTAGAGACTATAGTCTGATCCAACTAGCACGAGTAGGTGGTGGATGGGGAGCCACATTGGTGCAATGATTTATAGCCGCTGGTTCCTAAGCCAGGAGCACCACTAAGCTAAGCTCCATTCAGCTGAGTGTTGCATGCATGCCACGATGTGGTGGTCTCAGATGCCTGTCCTCTTAGGGTCAGGGTGTGTGCTCCCTCCCTCTCCCACTGGATCTTCTTCAGCCGCCTCCAGTGTGCCTGTTTCGGAATTCTACGGCTTGGAGGCAGCGTAGAGAAAAACCGGAAAGGGGTGGAAGGTGGAAGTTTCCAGAATCTGGCCACAGTGACTCATTCCTCAGCAATGTGGACTTCCTTCCTTTTGACGTTTAAGAATGTTTGGGGGTCAGGCGGGGCCAGGGGCTCCAGGAAGCAGCGGATGGGTTTGGGACAAATGCGGCGAGTTGCACATCTTCCAGCTCCCAGCAGCTTGTCCCTTCCTAGAGACCCTGAGAGCTTTGCCTAGTCCACAGGTGCGGAGAGAGATTGTTGAATCCAGGACGTGATGATAGGAAGCTTGAGGAAAGTGTATATTGTGTGCCATGTATGTGTAGTTGCTGGAGTGCTAGACTTAAGACTAGGGCGATCACACAAACATCTACCATCTATCAACCAGTGGATTGAATACCACACACTGCCCTTTCTATGTTTGAAAGCATGGCTTATAATCACCAATTTCATTTGGCCTGCCTGTGTTACTTTATATGTTTAAATCGAGACTGGTGGAATATTCTTATTGCTAACTTCATCTGGCAATTGGTGTTGTGGTTTATTAGTTATTTGGGTGTTTTTTCCTGTTATATGAAATAATTGGGGAGGTGAGGAGGACTGAGGTTCAACTCTTTGCTGGATTATATAGCTTACTGGAGTGGCCTACGGCTGGTTGCTGTATGTTGGCCTGACCTCTTCTACAAGGCAGTTGTAAGGATAAAAGGAGGCGACTATTTAAGTCACCCTCAGCTTTTCGGAGGAAGCATGGAATAAAAATGTAAAATAAATTTTCTGAACAGTGGATCTTGATCCTGGAGCCTGATGCTCCTTTGATCAGAGGGAGGGTATGGCATGCATCATTCTTCTTTCCCCATCTTCTCCCCACCCTGACCCCAAACAGGGTTGGGTGTGATACTCTCTGGGCCAGCCTCCCACATCCCAATAGGTTGGATCTCCAAAAATTGTTAGACTGCAAATCCCATCAACCCTGACATTGCTGCTTGGGAACGATGGGAGTTGTAGTCCACCAAACTCTGGAGAGCCAAGACTGGGGAAGGCTGCCCAGGGAGGTGGCCGTTGTTCGCCTCTGTTTGAAGTGCTGGACTGGAGACTTTTTTATTCCAACTCAGAACAGGAAATTCTTACCCGGCTGTTGAACAGCAGAAGTTCTGAATACCCCCTCTCCTGGTTTTGTTTGCTTCTAAAGTGTCTAGCCCTCAAGACAGAGAAGCTTGATTGCATGTGGGAAGACAGGGAGAGTTCTTAGAAAAGAGGAAGGGGCAGAAGAGGACTTCCTTTGGTCTGAGGGAGAGGGTGGCTTCTTCTGAATCCTTTACGAGTTATCAGAATGAGAGATACAGATTGAAGCAGCAAAGCCTTGGAGAAGGGGACCCTTTCTCTTACCACAGACTAAAAAGTTGCTCTCCTCTTGCCAGGCGCGTCTTGGAATGGCTGCCATGCCTGGATGGCTTCGGAGGGTGCCCGCGGCACACTAGGGACCCTCAGCCAAGCAGCACCAGGGCGGCTGCGGTGGCCTCGCCCCTCGGGAAGCCAGCCGGGACCCGGGAGGCCACCTCTCCTGGCGTGAGCCGGGCCCGTCTCAAAGCCGTCAACGGGAAGCTTGGGGAAAGGGGAGGCCGCCCTCCCCGCTGCCCACTCTGACAGCCGCCGCCATGTCGACCTCCTCGCTGCGCCGCCAGATGAAGAACATCGTGCACAACTACTCCGAGGCGGAGATCAAGGTGCGGGAGGCCACGTCCAACGACCCTTGGGGCCCGTCCAGCTCCCTCATGTCTGAAATCGCAGACCTCACTTACAACGTGGTGGCCTTCTCCGAAATCATGAGCATGATCTGGAAGCGTCTCAACGACCACGGCAAAAACTGGCGTCATGTCTATAAGGTAACAAGCTCGGCCGGTGGTGGATTCGGTTTCCCTTGGTCGTGAAAGGCGGCTCTGCCAAATCGAGGGAGGCGCCATAGCTCAGTTGTAGCACATGCCCTTTGCCTGTTTGAGGCCTCGATTTCAGGCCCAGGCAACTTGGGGTGAAGCAGCGATAGGCAGCCTTTTCCCAGACAAGGGCATGGTTTGGGTTTTGGTGACCTGTAGGGGACCACATGATTGGGGGGGGGGTTTACTGCCAGATGGGGCACCAAGGCCAGATCAGAAAGGCACAGAGACGTTTTCTCAGCTGCAGGGAAGCAGTCATGAGTACCACTTTGCAATTGCTTTTCCATTGCATAAGGAAATATAAAACCTTGAGCTCCCCCAGTGCCTTGCCTGTGCTTGCTTCTCCTTGGTGTGAGCTTTCTTATATCTGGTGAAACTGACGACGTTGCTACTTTCCAATGGTTCTCCAAATTCAAGCCTCATAGTTGCAGAGTGACAAGTGAAAGTTTTGAAGAGAAGTGCTGAAGGATCTTGGCTGGCACAAGGCTGAGAAGGCGGACCCTCCAGGGACCTTGAACTAGAGTCTCTGCCAGTTGGGGAGTTAACTGTTCTGGCCTTATTGGAACATTTGTTCTGATTTGGTATCAGACAAATGTTAGATCTCGTTTTTAGAAGCCCCTCTGGCTAGTGCTTTGGGCCTCTTCCACCACTCTACTTCTGTGAAGAATTACGCACAATCTTTTCTCCCTCTCCCGTAATACTTGAATGACCTTTCTCATCCTGGCACTTTCTGTATGTTTGTTGGCATTCAGCCAGCAATGCCCGGGATCAGGTGTGCTGGAAGCTGGAATCCCGTTTTTCTCCCTCTTCTTCCAGGCTATGACTCTGATGGAATACCTGATCAAGACGGGCTCGGAGCGGGTGGCGCAGCAATGCAAGGAGAACATCTACGCCATCCAGACGCTAAAAGACTTCCAGTACGTTGACCGCGATGGCAAGGACCAGGGAGTCAACGTGCGGGAGAAGGCCAAGCAGCTAGTGGCCCTCCTCAAAGACGACGAGCGTCTCAAGGAGGAGCGGGCCCATGCCCTCAAAACCAAGGAGAAGCTGGCCCAGACTGCGACCGGTGAGTGCTCATTCCCAGCCGGGTGGCCTCAGTCAGGCTGGCAAGTGTTGCCCAAGCTGTTAAGCTGGGTAGTGGAGCCTGTATGGTGTGGCTGTTAAGAGCAGCCATTGCCAACCTGCTGCCCTCCAGATGTTTGAGACTTCAGACCCCAGCCAGCCCGCGTGGGGGGCTGATGGGAGTTGTAGTCCAAAACATCTGGAGGGCACCACATTGACTGGAATGGGAGTATAAGCAGGTTCAGATAACTACATAGCTGTGAAATTCACTGTGCAACTTCAGGACAGTTGCTGTTTCTCTAAGCTCAGAAATGGCCAGTGTGGTGCCCTCCAGACGCTGATGGACGACAGCTCCCATCATTCCTAACCCTTAGCCATGCTGGCTGGGGCTGGTGGGAGTTGGATTCAGACAACATCTGGAGGGCAACACATCTGCTACCCTGGCCTAAGTTATTGTGCAGGGTTGTTGTGTGAATAATATGGTTAGGATACGCTCAGCTCCCCCATGCACAACCAAACTGCAAGGCACACTACATAAAACCCAACTCGAGGGGGATGGGATAAACATTTTTATATAGAAATAATTTTTCAAATGTCATTTGTAGCGAGCACAAGCAGTTAGAAGGGGAGGTGTGAGCTCTCCCTTGACCGCCTCCCAATTGAGTTAAAGTGGATTGTTTGGGTTCTAAGGCAGGGGTAGGCAGAAGGTGAATTGGAACCTATTGATATATCACCACTGAATTGAGATAGGTAAACAAAGATTTCTGACTCCCAATTGTTTAACAGTGGCAACAACAAAACGACCCCCTTCCAAATTATACCACTGGCACAAAGAATGCTTGGGGGCAGTGGCTATAACCAGGAGTGAATGTTTGTTAGGAAGGAGAAGGAGCTCACTTTTCTTCTGCTTTTCAGAACTAATCCCAGTGTTCAGCATGGGTTTAATGCCCAATGTCCATCTTTTGCACTAGGCTCCAGTTAGTGGATCTTGGGGGTTCTAGTGAAAAACAACCCCAAACACTCAAAGTAGATCCTACAGGCTTGAAAGGCCTGTTCCAAGGTGGTCTCCTATAGCAGGAATGGCTCAACGGCAGTCCGTGGGCCAGATCCACCTGCAAAACAAACTGAGGTGAGGAGTGTTAAACAAGGTGCAGTTAGGCAGAAGTGTGCATCATTCTGTTTGTAAGGAAAATCAGCAATGGAATGTGTGGGTTTGTGCTTGCGCTGTTCTCCTGCCACCACCTGCTCAGGCTGGGAAGACCAAAGGTCCACTGCTAGTTAGCACCTTGAGGTGAGTCCTTGAGGAAGGTACTGATATGCCTCTGAATACCAGTTGCAGGAAACTGCAGGCAGAGAGAGTTGCCGTTATGCTCAGGTCCTCCTTGCATGCTTCCCACAGGCATCTGAATTGGTCACTGTGAGAACAGGATGCTGGACTAGATGGGCCATTGGTCTGATCCAGCAGAGCATTTCTTATGTTCTAATGAAGAATGATAGTTCCCCAGGCCTTCTTCCTCTGTACTGAAATAACTTCTCACCTTCTTTGTAGGTCAGGCACCCCAAAACTCAGCTCTCCAAATGTTTTTGGGACTACAACTCCCATCATCCCTAGCTAAAAGGACCAGTGGTCAGGGATGATGGGAACTGTAGTCCCAAAACATCTGGAGGGGGGCCAAGTTTGGGGATGTCTGGTGTTGGCGCTTTCTGTAGCTGGAAAACTCTTTAGTGCTAGCCCATACCAGACCAGGGCATCATCTGAGCCATATAACGCAGCTGTAAAGCAGGTTCAGGGCTGGTCAGTAATTGTCTGGGAGTTTTAGGCATGCCAGTGGACTTTCCTCATGGGAGGAAAGCGTGATGTGGATATAATATTTTTATTGCACAGCTTGACAGTCTGGACAGGAACAGGAAGCTGGATTCTTCTGGCCACCAGACCACTCATGGTGGAAAATATATCCTCCCTTGGCAAAATAGTGGGTTGTTCCCATGGAGTAGCCTTTCCCAACCTGCTGCTCACAGCTTTGCTGGCTAGGACTGACGGCAGCCTCAGTCCAAAACCGTCTGGAGAGCAACAGCTTGGGGAAGAAGGCTGGAGAGATTAGAAGATGGTGCACAGAAGACCCTTCTGTGAGGATACTGGATAGAAGAAAAACCACATGTTCCTCTCTTGGGTTGTTCCTTGAAGTTGTCCTGGGAAGGTCTTTGGGGCCCATCCCTATGTTGCTCCCTGTTGGTTCTCCTGAAATGTTACCTGCTGAAATGTCAGAGACAGCCGCTCATCCCTGATAAAAGGTGGCTCTGACTCTGCAGAACCACGTTCCCCTCCCTCTTGAACTTGGCGGGTCGCCAGGCTCAGAGGCTGAGTTACAGGCCTCCGTGATCTGTCAGTGCCCCCTTTCCATTTTGATAACCCCCAGATCAAATTCCAACTCTGTTGTTTGCAAAGTGCCTGGCAGGGCAGAATGAGATAAGGAAATGGGAGTAGCTTTTGCTTCCTATTCTAAACTGCTCAGCAGAATTATGAGGAATTGGTTAAACATTAGAGGCATGTAATAAGCAAGAGGCAGGGGGAATTTCTGTCTTCCAGTCTGCTAAAAGGGCTACAGCCCATACTGAATGAGCTTATCATTTACCCCTTATCCGTATTCCCACTTAGAAACACCCCCACCCTCGACGTGCAGAAAGCCAGTCTGCTGCTATTTATTCTTCTGGTGAACACCCAAAGTCCAATGCTTCAATCACACAGACCACCTGATCTCATTCCTAAGCCCATTGATTGAAATACAATACAATAAATTCCTGAATACAGTCGCTTCTAAAGTGGACTATAGACATTAAAACTATAAAATCACAACCGCAGATAAATAAAAAGCAGCAGCAGCAGTTCCACTCAGCCTACGACAGTCCTGAGCATTGGCCTCTCACTCTTGGAAGTATCAGGATCCCTGCGGTGATTTTGGGCTGGGATAGGACAGGAGGACCCAGAACAAGGCAGGTTATCCTGAAGAGAAAAGCAGAGAGTGGGCAGAGAGTGTAGAGAGCACTTTTTATTTAAAAATAGCTGCCACCATCATGTCAGTCAGGTATATTGGGTGACCCCAAGTTCTGATTTTGCAGTAAGAGAGGAGGCCATATCTCAGTGGTCGAGCGTGTGCTTTGTCTTGAGTTGTGTATCAGGTGCTGAGACAGACCTCGTTCTGCCTGAGATGCTGGGGAGCTACTGCCAGGCAGAGTAAAATAGGTGTGGGGGAACTTTTGGCCCTCCAGTTGTGGCTAAACGATAAATCCCATCAGCCCCAGCAAGCCTGGCCAATGGCCAAGGCTGAAGGGAGTCAGCGTTCAGCCACAGCTGGAAGGCCATGGGTTCCCAACAGCTGAAGTAGACAATACTGTGGGCTAGATGGACAAATAGCCTGATCTGTTCTAAGGCGGCTTCTTGATTCCTTAATCTGGCTTGTTCTGAATTCTGCTGCTGTTGCAGATTAGAAGTTCCATTTTTCTCTTCCTCTTCTTCCCACCCCAGCCTGTCCCTAGTAGTGGCAGCATTGGTGGTTTAGGCCTAAGGCTTCCTCATTAGCTGGTCTCTCTTCGGAGGACAAAGTGTGTGGACTGAAGCTTGGATGGAGCCAAAAACTGTTTCTCAAAAGGGTAGTTGCTGGAGCCTTCCACGTGGCTTGGAAGACATTAAGAAACAACTGCAAATTAATTGAGCTCTTTGCCTTTGATTTTAGTCATCCTCCCTCTTGATTCAGAACCTGCTTTCATGATGGGTGTGTCATATCAGTTGAGCTTTAAGCCCAACCCTACAAGTGTTCTCCTTTGGTCTTGCAGAGAACTGACTCTCTAGCCTACCATCTCTTTCTTTGGGCTTATATAATAAAGTTGCAGTGATTCTCGCCCCCTTAAGTTGTTAATTGGAATAGCCAGACAGGTTCCAAAAGGGCACGTAAGCACTCTGGATAGTTCCAGGTTGAGGGAATCCCTAAAAGTCCACACCTTGACAGCCCAACTTCTGCTCTTTTATCGCCCTTTTCCGTTTCCCAAATTCACACATTGTTTCCCATCCCTTTATATACTATTCTTCCCCCCTCAATTGCACCCTCATCCCCAGTCTGCCAATTTGATGGGCCCAACATAGATGATGAACATTCCGTGGTTGCTAGGCAACTGCAGGGCCTATATGAGTCTGCTTAGAGGCCTAGGAAGCCACATCTTTGGTGTTTACTAAGCCCTTCCCCAGGCCCACAAAACTCCTCAGTGTGGCTCCAGAAAGCCATTAAGTGGCAGCTCAGTCAAGTTTGGGAATAAGTATCTCATTTCTCCACTGAACAGACGGGACTTGTTCCCGAGCAAGGCTAAAATATGCCGATGACTCCCCTTAGTTCATCGGAGATAATTACATTTTTGCTCCTTTCCATTCCAATCCACCTCCTTCCTTCCTTCCTTCTTTCTTTCTTTCTTTCTTTCTTTCTCTTCTCTCTCTCTCTCTCTCTCTCTCTCTCTCTCTCTTGTCAAGGATGAGATGTGGGAGAGACCGAGCTCTCCAAATATGCCCTTTACATTTTGACAGATTTGCGCCTGTTATCTGAAGAGCACACAAAACCTTTTCCCGGTGGGCAAAATAACTTTCCCGTTAGCTGACACAGAGCTCAAAAGCTTGCAGCCTCCCGTTTGCGAGAGGAATTTGGTCTAGTCCTGTCGTATGTATTTCGGCTGGGCTTGTGTGTGTGTGTGTGTGTGTGTGTGTGTGTGTGTGAGAGAGAGAGAGAGAGAGAGAGAGAGAGACAGACAGACAGACAGACAGACAGACAGACAGACAGACAGACAGACACTCAACAGTTCCCTGCCGGGTTTCCCTCTGACAGGGAAAACATGCCCACAGAGCAAGATTAGTGAATCATCTGGCAGGCAAGTTCCTCTTTTGAGGGTAGATCCATGTACCAGGCTGGCAGAACTTGTTCCCTTGAGGAGAAAGTGGTGGTGGTGGCTGCGATAACGGAGGAAAACTGTAATGACCTTGACTATAGCAGGGAAAACCACTGCTCTCCCTTTCCTCCCTCGGCCACCTCCATCTCAGCCATGGCCGGAATCCCACCTCCATGACACTGCTTTGTGCGGTCGCCTGCATCCCTACACTAATGAGGGATGGCAGTTGGTGCCAGGCTGTCTAGGGGGTGGGGAAGATGTCTATTCAGGTCATGGCACAGCGGCTGGGCCATTCTCCTCTCTCCTCTCTGTCACCACCCCCAGCCATCTCTGCCAAGGTTCGGCCACAGACTGGGGCTGGATCTTCCACGTTGTGACGGCTGTTCCATCCATGTGCTATTAGCTGAACCAGGGTCCTTATTTCCCCACCCATCTCCTGTGCATGCTAATGGCTGACATGTATCAAATGTGAACCTCATGCTGCAGTCAGGTGTGCCTCCTACTAGTGGTTAGGGGAAATGTCCACCTGCTTTTCCAAAATTTCTGCAAATTTCTAAAACTGATCGCGGTTTATCCCGTTGGCTCAGAGCAGATGATAAGGTTAAAAAGGATTGCTTTTTTATTATTACACTCCGCACGGTGTTTGACAAAGTTACAAGGGACAGCTCCCAGCCTGGAAAAACTGGAAAAATAAAATATGTTCATACTCTCAGGCGGACAAAGTCAGTGCTAGGTGCTCAGGAATCCCCTGAGCTCACAGAACCATCAGAGCCCAGAATACAAGGGGCCTGGAGAGATTGCGGGGCAGAAAAACGTAACCTGCCGCCAGTTAAAATGCCCACATTTTCTGTAGTGGGTCATTTTTTGCCGTGGAGAATTAGTAAAATTTCAGGCCCCTGAGCAGCTAAGGATTTTGTATAGCGTTTCAGTCAGTCCTATGTTGTGGCAGCTTCCTGAGATTTGGAAATGCTTCAGCCGTGACTCCAAGGCTTCCCTGGTGTTAGAGCTGAACTGTTTGCAAACCCTTCTCGCTGTTTTAATTTGGTGCCCTTCTCCAAGCTATGGCTTGTCCATTTGTACATTCTCTGGCTGAGCAGAGATTGGCAGCTGGGTCTAGTCAAGTCCTAGTCCACTGCTGTGTAGGGGGGCAAACTTGTGGGATTCATAATAATAATAATAATAATAATAATAATAATAATTTTTATTTATACCCCGCCCTCCCCAGCCAAGGCCGGGCTCAGAGCGGCTTACAAGCAATAATAAAAACAAGTTGAATGATTACAACTTAAAAACAAATTAAAATACAACATTAAAATATTGAAACATTAAAATATTAAAATGTAGCCTCATTGCAGGAGAAGGAAAGGAAAAAAAGAAAGGGAGGGAGGGAATCAAAATGGCTCCAAGCCAAAGGCCAGGCGGAACAACTCTGTCTTACAGGCCCTGCGGAAAGAAATCAGATCCTGCAGGGCCCTGGTCTCATGAGGCAGAGCGTTCCACCAGGCCGGAGCCAGAGTTGAAAAGGCCCTGGCTCTGGTTGAAGCTAATCTAACTTCCTTAGGGCCCGGGACCACTAGGGTGTTGCTATTTATGGACCTTGAGGCTCTCTGTGGGGCATACCAGGAGAGGCGGTCCCGTAGGTACGAGGGTCCTAGGCCGTGAAGGGCTTTAAAGGTCAAAAGCAGCACCTTAAATCTGACCCTGTACTCTACCGGGAGCCAGTGCAGCTTGAAAAGCACTGGGTGAATATGCTCCCATGGCAGAGACCCCGTGAGGAGCCTCGCTGCAGCATTCTGCACCCGCTGGAGTTTCTGGGTCAGCTTCAAGGGCAGCCCCGCGTAGAGCGAATTACAGTAGTCAAGCCTGGAGATGACCGTCGCATGGATCACTGTGGCCAGGTCAGGGCGGGAAAGGTAAGGGACCAACTGCTTGATGCGGCGAAGGTGGAAAAATGTCACCTTGGCTGTTGCTGTAACCTGTGCCTCCATGGAAAGGGAGGCGTCAAGGATTACACCCAAACTCTTAACGGAAGGCAATGGCACTAATTGGGGCCCCGCAAGAGAAGGGAGTTGGTCCCTCATCCCCATGCCATCCCGACCCAGCCATAGGACCTCTGTCTTCTCTGTCTATTATGTGCTTAGCAGCTGGAGCCAAATTCAAAGTGGTGGGTTGGGAGGGAATAGAGTCAGTTACCCACTACAACCCATGATGAGGCATACACTGGGGTAACCTGTGTGTGTACAAATACAGATCTACACCTGAGTTACCATAGAGCAGGAACACAAAACTTTGACACTGATTTGCAGAAAAGCAGAAAGCATAATCTTGATAGTCCTGTTTTACACTGAGGCTGAAAGAGAAGCATTTAGCACAAGGGCAGCCATGGGAAAAGATATTCAGTTGTGGTATTTTTTTTACATTGCTATTGTTTAACTTTTGAAATTCTGAACCCCATGCTGATCTACTGCAAATAACCCAGAGATCTATAAGGTAGATTCCCGTTTGCCTGCCCTTCTGCTGTTTTTATTTTTTTTTACAGGTATTTAACAAAAATTATATACTTCTTTATTGTAAATAAAACCTCTGAAAACCACTACACCATGGTTTGCTTTTTGCTGTCTCCAGTGAAGCTGCCTCCCCATAGTACTTTCTCTTTCTCCTGCCTGCTGTCCACCTTGGTGGTATTAACCCTTTCCTCTCCCACCCGCTTTCTTGTTTCTCAGCTTCTTCAGCTTCCTCATCTTTGGCAAATGCCCCAGTGGAAGCGGAGCAGGCTTGGCCCCAGAGCAGCGGGGAAGAGGAGCTGCAGTTACAGCTGGCGCTGGCCATGAGCAAAGAGGAAGCGGAGCAGGTAAGCGCCAAGGTAAATCTGTCACTGGCGACTCTTTGGATGGGCGGGGAGGGAAGGGATGGTGGGGGTTGTGGACGTTTGGAGAGAGATGTGGGTACGCCCTGCTCCCCCAGATGAGGAGATCGACTGTTGTGTTCTCAAGGCTTCTCCTGCAGGCAAATAATAAAAGCTGACTAGGAAAGCAGAGCTACAAGCTCTTTTAATTTGGCACTTTCCTAGAGGAAAAGCCTTTCCCTCAGATCCAGCTGGTTCTGGCTCAGAAGCAGACAGTCCATGGAGATGCTGGCCTGCTAATCTCCTTCCTGAGCATGTCCCTTGGATTCAGAAACTGAGCCTTATTCAGCTCCCCCTTCCCACCATGATTACCAATGGGGATAACAGGGGCAAGCCTGTTGAGCTCTCTCACACTTACCCATTGATATTTCTGCAGCCCCCCTCACCGCCCTGCAATTTGGGGAACAAACATGGTAATCATGTTGAAGGGAGGGAAGAGCCAATCTATGGTGCTCGTGAGAGGAAAGGAAGTGGATCATCTCAGGTTTTTATTCCCCCCCTCTCTTTGACACACTTAGTGATGATACCAACTATATTTGCACAGGATAATGATAAGGAGGCGGGAGATGGGTTTGCTCCCCTCCACACTATTCTGCACCTTGTATGCTTTCTCCCAAGCTGAGACAGAAGCAAAGGATTCTTTCGCCGCCTCTTTCTCAGCCTCAGTGGCAGCTGAGGCCAACTGGAGGCCCTTCAGATATTCCCATCGTTCCTGACTACTGGCCATACTGGGAGGAGCTTGTAAGACAGTCCAGAAAGCCAGAGGCCTAGGAGCCTGGATGTTCCCCCGTTCATCTGCCAAGATCACCTTTGGAGATCCTCCCCTGGGGTCTGCCATGATTTAAAGTGAGACGGGGCCTTTTCAGGGGTGGCCTCATTTATAGACCGTGTTGTCCCCAGGGGTGCTTACCTACCAAGTGCCTCATAGTAGTGCTTTTATTGGCCATTAAAAAGGAAGCCTCATTGTTTTGTTATCTATTCTGCTTGGTATTAATGTTTGTCTTTTCTATGTATACGGGCCTGAAAATATTTTTATTTAGCAGCAGCCTTAAAAAAAAATCTTCAGATAAAATGATGCGCTCAGTGAGAGGGCTAAAGAAGCTTTTGCCTGTGCCTTGGCTTATGAGAGAGTGAACAAAGTCCAAAAGGAGGATCCTGGTAACTTAAAACACACACGTTGCAAGATTCACCATGGCTTACCACCCTGCACCAAAAACGGTTCACTAATTAGAAAGCGGCGGGGAGATTTGGAGCACCATGTAAAATGTATAGAATTCATAAAAGTACATCCCATTAGTGCTGGGGCAAAGATCCGTTTCAGCCCAGCAGGCCCAGACCCTCCTGACCAGCCACCCCAATAGTTAAAAGATGGTTACTTTTGTAGTAGTTGCATAAATTGGTTTTACCAAATAAGACTGCTGAAACTGTACAATTACCGCCCCCCCCATCAAATACTTAAAATTTCGGCCCAGAAGGGCATGAAGTTCATGCCTCCTCTGTAAATGAATCTTTTTGGGTGGAGTTGTAAATTGGTGGGCAGAGCTGATTCAGCTATTGCTCAATTTATAAAATATGCCCCCTGTTCGTTTGGTTTTTTTAAAAAACAACAACAACAACAACTGCTGACCAGGAAGGTGGGGGAAGGGAGGACATGAGATTTATGCTGACTCAATGAACAGATTGACTTGTCCAGCTTTGTTTCTAGTGTGTGACCCCCTCTGGGCAGACGCTGCTAGCAGAGCCTTGTGGGCGGCTGAGCTTTTCCGTAAGCATTTTGGTAATGAAGTCAGTCCCCATTGGGGAAACGGAAGACTAGAATTGCTGGCCACGCGCTCCACTGGCCCACGTTGGGAGCAGAGGCTGATGGGTAGCGGGCCGGTCTGCTAGCTGCCATCTTGCGCCGCAGTGCATCCTGGGTAGAAATGTTAAAAGGTTTCAGGGTAGCTGTGGGTCTGTTTATTCATTTGTTTGTTTTCCTCAGTACTACTTGTGGTTTGAGAGGAATGGGGGGAAGAGACAAAAGCGAGGCACAGATGTGTTTGAACCGACGTTCCCCGACAGGAAATGGCTTTTTGATTGAGATTTTTCATCCAGATTTTCGCACAGAGCCCCCCCTGCGGTGACGAGCTCTCCCTCCTGGCTGGGGGAGATCGGGAATGCTTCCGTTCTCTGTCGCACAGGGTCCACACGAATTGATCCTGCCCCCTCAAAGACACCAGGTTTTGCCTACCTTTTTTCTGTTGTATGTTAACCTCTCCCACAGCACCAGTCTCCTTAGCAGCGCTGCCCCCCCACCTCCAACCACCCAGGATCGCGTGGGCTGCCGCGTTGTTCAGGTTTGCCTGCCGGTCTTTCTCAGCGGAACAACACAAATAGCTCTTGAGCCGTCAGTCTTGGCTCTTGAGGTTCTTTCTTTAGCCACACACTCTATCCATTATAATTATTATTATTAATGCTACTTGGGCCTGCTCTTCCTTTGAGTGAGAGGATGGAGGAGGAAGCTGTCTCCCATCCAGACACCCACCTGTTCCCTGCCCACAGAACTTCTGTGATTCTGGCAGCCCTTTGTCCCAACCTGTTGCCCTCCAGGGGCTGATGGGAACTGTAGTCGAGAGCCTCTGGAGGGGGGCCACCAGGTTGGACATAAGCCGTGCAGCTCCCATTGGCTGTGCCCAGACCTGCCACTCAACACACGCCACGGCCAATCAGACCCTAAGTCCTGCTTTTTTTTGTCGCCTCCTTTCCTTTTCTGTGGCTCCTCCCAAGTGGGGTGATTGTGTTTGCTTCCCCCATCCCAACCCTTGTCCGTTTAATTTTGGCTCCTTATTTTTGCCACCTTATTTCCACTTCCCTCCTCCTCCTCCTCCTTCATGCCGCATTTCCTTCCACTTTACCCTTGTTGTTTGCAAAAGAGAAGGCCGAAAAGGCGGGGGGGGGGGAGACAGAAAGACCTACAACAATTTAACTTTACTATCCAGGGAACTGAGCTAGAAATACTTATTTATTTTGAGGGGTGGGGGAGGTGCCTGTTTCTACACCAGAGATGTCCAGCCTTGGCACAAACGACTCTTCCTTTCCTCCCCCCCCCCTTTCTGTCTGAAATAGTTTGGGGAGTCGCATGTCCTTCAGCATGAAGGGCTGAAGCTCAGTGGCAGAGCACCTGCTTTGCATGCAGAAGGTTCCAGGTTCAATCCCTGGCATCTCCAGGTAGGACGAGGCAAAACTCCTGCCTGAAGCCCCGGAGAGATGCTGCCAGTCAGTGTAGAAAATACACAGCTAGGTAGACCAGTGGTGTGACTCTGTAGGAGGCAGCTTCCTATTTGACAGGGGCACTGAACCTGCGACCCTCTATATGTGTTGCTGGACTCCAGTTCCCATCAGCCCCCAGGCAGCATGGCTGCTGGTCAGGGCTGATGGGAGTTGTAGTCAACATCTGGAGTCACAGGTTATCCACTTGTAAATCCAGAAGGAAGTGCCTTTCTTCCTGCCATAGAGGATGTCTGCTTCTCTAGAAGGCAGTCTCTCCTAGCGCGCGGGAAGAGCGGGGCTCATCGTCACCTCTGTATCCTGCTCTTCCAGGGATCCCCGGTGCCACCTTTACCTTGACAGCACCCCTGACTGGCTTCTGTGGGATTTGAACCCAGATTCTCAGGTTGAAGCTTCGCCCTGTAGCTGCTAAACCGTATTAGCTCCCTGTGATTTCTATGTCTTGCCGGGGATTTATTAAAGTGCGATCAGGAGAGAAAGATTCTGGGATTGGCCTCTTTACAAACTTGTGAAGCTTGCTCCTCCTTGAATCGCTCCTAGATCACACCCCTCAAGCAGCTTGCATAGACAACTCGGGGGAATTGGAGTGCATAAGGGGCTGTGGTTCAAGGGCTTCCCCGAATAGCACAAGTGTCCCTGGGAGGGAAGGTAGTTCCCCCATCCACACTGAAGAATACTTTAGCTGAGCAGAGGGGAAGCACAATGGATGGAGAAAGCTGAGAATCCGGGTGGTAAGGAGACCGCTCATCGAATGGGCGTTTGCCGCAGAATGTGGCGATATCGGGTTGTGTGAAATAGAGGTGCCTGCAGTCTGCCCACCTTCTCCTTCCTTCCTTCCACCCCCCTCCCTCCCTCCCTCCGCTATGTCAAGCTCCCTTCCATGCCTCTTACGTTGTGTTTCTTCCCCCCCAGCCCCCTGCAGTGGCCGACGAGGACCTACAGCTCCAGCTAGCCCTTAGCTTGAGCAAAGAGGAACACGACAAGGTTAGACGCACACCTCCTGCCCCCCACCCGCAGCAGCTCCTCCTCTCGAAATAATCAACTAAACCACTTTCCGCCCCCGGCCCCAGAGCAGGCCCCAGCCTCACACTTTCCCCACTAACTGAGCGTTCTCTCTCTCTCTCCACGTCCCGAAGCAGAGCGATGGCAACAGGGGTGCCGTGTCTCCATTTTTCACTTTTAGACCTCTTTAATTGTCCCGCTGTGTAGAGTCAAGATTTCCCGAGGTGCCTTTCCCCTTCCCAGGGAGGCCCGGAAGGTAGGACAGGTCAGTCCGCGTGTCCTGCTGCTTCGAGAGGCGATGGGTCGCTGGCGCCTGCTGAGGCGGGTGTTGCGTGTGTCTTCTGCAGAACGGAGGCAATGGACAGGAGGAGGAGCTTCCTGAGCCATGAGGAAATGGGGGCCAGGAGTGCTGGCTGGAAAGGGGAGGCCATCCCTTGGAGTAAGGGAGTTTTGGGGTGGGTGGATATTTAGCGGAGGATGAGGAAGGTGGTAGTTCACAGATTGGAGCAGCTTTGCCAAGCTGGCCCCCTGAGATGTTTCAGACTACAACTCCCATCAGCCCCAACCGGGCCGGCCAGGGCAGATGGGAGTTGTAGTCCAAAACACCAGGTTGGCAAAGGCCTGGTTAGAGCTTGAGGGTAAGGAGAGAGGAAGACTTCCGCTTTCTCCCTTTGCGAGTGGAGCTTACTAGCTTCAACCAGCAGCGTGGAGGAAGGGAGAAGTTAAGGGAAAATGCCAGAACAGAAAGGCTGGCCAAGCCACTTCAGCATGGGGGGGGGCAGGTGGTCTTGGAGCCAGAATGCCTAGAAGGGAGGCAAATGTAGACGAGGTGCTGTTTGCTTGGGCACCTGCATTTTCAAGGGGGGTTGCGGGGGGGGGGGGCGAATCAGGGCTCCCATGAAGAGGTGGGGGTGGGAGGAGCTGGGCAGCCCTTGGCTCCTTCCTTGGCTCTCCGGATTGCCCACCTGAGTTGGACAGAATCGTAGTGGCAGCCGCTTGAAGCATCATCTGGCACACGGCCTACAGCAGGCCCTCGCCCAGCCTGTTGCCCTGCACCAAAACCACCAGCCCCAGCCAGCACAACCCTTCCTAGCTAGTGAGGGTGGCTTTGGTCCTAAGTGCCAGGCGGGCGCCAGGCTGGGCGAAGGCTGGGCCATGAAACCTCCGCGCTGCCTGCCTCTCCTGAAGGTGAGTGAACTGCTTTGCCCCTGGCCCGCGATCGCTGTTGATGCCCTCTTGTCCCTCCCACAATCCCCTTGCAGGAAGAGCGGATCCGGCGTGGGGATGACCTACGACTCCAGATGGCCATTGAGGAGAGCAAAAAGGAGACGGTGCCTGCCAAGGAGGAGGTGAGGGTGGAGCAGGCAGGGTCCGGGCAGGTGGCTCTGGATGGGTACCTGGAGCAGGGAGGGGAGGGGAGAATAGAAGGGGGGTGGCATTGCTGGAGGCATAATTGCCAGGTACACAGGCCTTGGTTCGATCCTGCAAGGCAGCACTTTAATTTCCATCTGAAACTGTTATTTTTATTTTTTCCTGCCAAGGAGGTGCTCTGGGTAGTAACCATATGACAGTGGTCCATTTTCTCCTCCCATGTACGTAGATTTCCCTACCCCTCTTTGCCTCTTGTGAGCCCTGTAAAGTCAGCTAGGCAGAGAGAGAGAGAGAGAGAGAGAGAGAGAGAGAGAGAGAGAGAGAGAGAGACTAGTCCAGGACCACCCAGGGACTGAGTGGATATTTGAACCTTGACCTCCCCGGGCCTAATCTGGCACTCTAACCACTGACCTGCACTATTTATTCCTTTGAGATAGAGATATACCCCACCTTTCCTTTCAATGAGCTCAAAATGGGGGTACAGTGTTTACTTACCCACAGTAATCTATGAGGTAGACGAGGCTGATACTCTAACCACTATGCCATTCTTGCTCTTGGGGTGTTATAAAGCGGAGGGTGTGGCGGTGTTGGGGGGGTTGTCGCTGTTTTCCAAATGGGACAATAGAGACGTGATTATTCCATAACCCGTTTCTCTGCCTGTCTCCCACATTCCTTCCCCACCTGCCCCACATGCAGTCATCCCTCATGGATCTTGCAGAGGTCTTCACCGCCCCTCCCACTGCGGACCCCTGGGGCGGCCCTCCTGCTCCCGCTGACCCCTGGGGTGGCTCTGCCCCAGTTGTATCCGCAGCTCCCACTGACCCATGGGGACCATCTGCTACCGGAGCAGCCCCTACAGGAGACCCGTGGGGGGCCTCTGCGGCGCCTCCTGCAGCCCCCCCAGACCCATGGGGAGGTGCCCCGGCTGCAAGCAGTGACCCATGGAAACCTGAAGGTAAGAGTGAGAAGTGACGGAACGGATCAGGATATGATAAACATGATTCAGCATTTAAGCCTTTTGCTTAAAATCAAGTTAACTGAAAGGGCTTAGGCGACCTTCCTCACTTGCTCATTTCTCTCCTGCCCCCTACCAGGAAAAAAGATACATTTTATGGGGCATTTATGGGTTTTTCTGCCTTCCAAGGTGGGAATCACCACTTCAGCAAGCTCTCTGTCTACCCCCTTCCGCTGTGTGGTGGAAGACAGGCAGGGTATACATTTAAATAATAACTCTTGTGCTTCGGCTCTGCAGCAATTTTCCTTTCAAGACTCTCCCTTCCCTTCCTTCTTTTTACTAGTAGGCAATTCATCATTTGACCCTGTTTGATGGGTGGTGTTATTTTATTTGCCAGAGAGGAGCTGTGGCTCCATGGTAAGAACATTTGCTTTGTGCTTAGAAGGTTCCGGGTTCCTTCCTTGGGCCACCCCCCACCCCACCCCCACCCCACCCCAGCTAAAACTATCAGTCAATGGGAACACAACTCCCACCTGAGACCTGCTGCCAGGCATCATTGGCCTAGAAAGACCAGCGGTCCGATTCGGTATAAGGCAGCAGCTCCCTGTGAGTGTTCAAACCTCGCAAAGATGCAGGGATCTCTCGTCGCAGAGCTTTCTTACCATCTCAGGCACGACGCCCACCGGCCATAGAGAACTAAATTACCGTTCTGTCTGCGTCAACCTGGGACTCCTAGGTGTAACACAAGCGCATAGACGTCTGTCCTGATGCACAGCGGACAGGATGTTTCCCCGGACATTGATAAAGTCTGACCCGCTTGACGTTTCCCCCAGGTGGAGGTTCCTCTGGGACCACGGCAGCACCACCCACAGATCCATGGTCATCTGGACCAGCTCCCACGTCCCAAGGGAAACCAGCGCCCGATCCTTGGGCTCCGGCATCCACGTTTTCTGATCCCTGGGGTGGCTCCCCTTCCAAGCCCAGCACGAACGGCACAGCAGGTGAGGGACAGCGAGGGCTCCTGAGCCCCCTTGGCCTGGCGGAGGGAGGCTTGGGTCAGGCCGGCTGGGAACTGGGGCTCCTGGGCGCCTTATCCCCACGAACGAGATGCAGGGAGCGGACCCCCAGCGCAGGATTGTGTGAGTCTGCGGGGAACGGGTCCCTTCCGCCCTTGCTCTCCTGTTAACCCTGCTGGCCCACCCCCTTCCCCCTTCTGCCTTGTCCCTCCCCTCCAGCTGGCGGAGGCTTTGAGCAGTTTGGCAGCCCCGGGGATGGGGACGAGTTCTCTGATTTCGACAGCCTGCGCCCAGCACTGCCCAAATCCGGGAGCAGCACAGGTGAGCCCTGCTCCCTGCATGGCTCCGCCTTCTCACCTCTGCACCTCCACTTCGCCCTGCATGTCCCTGTCTCTTGCCTGCCACTTTCCTTACTCTCAACCCCCGGGACTGGGTGGCAGCGGTTCCTGGCATTGCCCTCTGCCCTCTCTTGGGTCAGCCAAACTCAGCTCAGAAGTGACACCCCACGGACCAGTTTTGTTCCTGCATGTACTTTGAAGAGAGGTCTCTTTCTTTCATTCTTTCTCCCCTTCTCTCCCCCCCCCCCCTCTTTCCGGCTTCTTTATCCCGGGGCTTGTCTGACCCTTGCATGATTCGAATTGGGAGTGTGTGCCTATGACTGTTGCAAAAACCGAAGGGCGTATCTCTGTTGGCCTTTGTCTTTTCCCTCCATGTTTGTGCTCTTCTGCATCTTCCATTCCCTTCTCTCACCACTCTTTCCTGTCTGCCCCCACCAATCTCTCTCTTCCCCCTCTCTCTTTAGGTGAGCTGTCCCTCTTAGCCGGGGAGGTGCCCATTTGCCGACCCGGCAGTGGCACTGACAGCCCCAACACTTTTGACATGGCCTCCATGGGCGGGTCGCTGCCCGAGATCTCCAAGCCAACGCGGAAGACCCCCGAGTCATTTCTGGGCCCCAACGCTGCCCTCGTCGACCTGGACTCCCTGGTCAGCAAGCCTTCTACTGCCTCTAGCATTGCAAAGGCCTCCAACCCCTTCTTAGCCCCTGGTAAGTGCTCTGGGGCCGGGGCACTCTGGGGGTTCAAGCAGGGCAGAGAGAAGGATATCTCCTTAGTTCTGTTTGGTTGAGTCATACAAGTCAGAACGGGGAGGGAAAGAACTCTTCTTATATCTGCATGAATCTCGTTGGGCAGGACTCTCTTGTCTGGCCCCCTATTTATGGGGCTTGCTGTTTTGAAGCAGGATTAAAAGCAGACCTCTTGATGGGCTTAAAAATCTCTTTCAGGGTAAACCAGGGAGAAATTTGCAGATGAAGTTGGCTTGTGCGGCTTATTTTGTGTAATGTCGCCACATTGAGTCTCATTGTTGCGATGAGGGTTTATGCAAGGCAGAGACCCCACCTTACCCACCAGAAATCTTCTGTCCAGCACCTTCATGCATAACATCACAGCCATGAGGCCTAGAAACTTGCTTCACAAACATGTGCAAACCTCCTCTACTACTCCATACTGCCCTGTCCTGCTCCCAGCCTGATGTTTGAGCTTGGAGCGGGGAGGTTGGGAAGCACAACTTCTGGCTCCTTGGAGGCTCATACAGTAGATTTGGATGTAGGAGCCACAGGTCAGTTCAGTATTACTGACCTTGTTTATAAGGCGCAAATGAGACAAGTCCTCTTAGCTTTAAGCCAGGCCTTCCTTGAGCTGGAAGGACATACTTCTCCGTGCTTCAGCGCATAGTTAAACACTGTCACTTGCTCCCACAGAAGGCAGTGATGGTCATCAACTGGCATGGTTTTAAAAGAGGATTGGATAAATTCATGGAAGACAAGGCTATCAATGGCTGCTAGCCACAATTGCTTCTGGGAATCTCAGGCCACTGTGAGAACAGGATGCTGGACTAGATGGGCTACTGGCCTGATCCTACAGAGCTTGATAATGTTTTATGGGGCTGCAGAGGAAACCAAGGCTCCTGAGAGTTGAGGGTGGGAGGCATTGGCCCAGGACTTTGGGGTTCCTTTTAACTTGTTTTTCTTCCTCCTCCTCCTTTCTCTCATCCGCTGCAGGTTCAGCCCCAGCCCCAGCCGCGTCTGCCTCAACTACAAACCCCTTCCAGGCGACGGCCACTGCCCCGCTTTCGCTCAACCAGCTCCGCGTCAGTCCGGTCCTCCCTTTGTCTCAGCCGGCGCCCCCTGCCTTCCCTGCCGCAGCTCCTATGGTCTCTGTCTCCCCCATGGCCCCCGGGATGCCCTTGGCCTCCGTTTCCCCCATGGTGGGGGTGCAGCCTTTGGGCGCTGTCCCGACTATGGGGCTCCCTGCCATGGGCCTGCCCCCTCAGAGCCTGCCGCCCACTGGCGTCGTCCCCAGCAGCACCTCAGCCGCCTCCATGGGCAGCACCAACCCCTTCTTGCTATAATCAGGGGGATCTTTTAGCTCTGTGGGGATGACACCCCATTGTCAACCCCCACATTCCCAGTTTGCAAAGGGGGGCCCTTAGTTTCCACCCACAAAACGGGGCAGCCGGGAAGGCGGGGGGAGGGAGAAGGAAGGGAAGAGACTTAAGTCCTTATTGCGAGCTCCTCCACCCCCATGTTGGGGGTAGGGTGGACTTAATTTTTTCTCTTTTTGGTTTTGGTTTGGGGGCTTAATTGAAGAGCTCCTCCTTCCCCCCTCCCCCGCTGCTCTTCAGGGCAGCTGGGAGACCCCATTTCTGCTGTCCTCTGTCGGCAGCAGGGGCAGCTCCCTTCTCTAACTCAAGTTGAGGTTTCAGCGTCACATTTGAGGGGAGGGAACTACGAACCAACAACAGATCTAGAGTTGTGGGGGGCGTTGAGGGGTGTGTGCGTGGGTCTTCTCCAAAGGCAGGTGGTTGTTGTTGCTGTTCTTTGTGCCCTCTCCCGTATTGGCCACAGAAACCCTTCCCATGTTGAAAGGCGAGGGGGGATTATCCTATTTTGGTCAACCCCTCCCACACCTTCCTTCATAAGTCTCTCTCTCTCTTTCTCTCTCTCTTCCCTTTTGCAGAAGGGATGGAGGAAGAGAAGTGGCCATGTGCCTCTACCTGCCTCCCAGGCCCTTCCAAACAAAGAGACAGATGGACACTGTCCTTTTAAATTATGATTTTATTTTGGTAGGCACTCCCCCACTTCCCTTCCAGATGTTTGGTTACATCTCCATCCCCTCCTGCCCCACCCCTGTGCTGGGACCAGCCCTTCTCTGCCTCTTCTTTTTTTTTCCACTAAGGGGGTGACGTCAGTGAATCCCCTTCACTACACCTGGGAACGGTTGAGACACTGGGAATACTTGTCTCTTCCGTCTCCGGGGCCAGGCGGGATACCACTAATCTGCGGTCAGAGACCAAAAGCTGGATCTGGAAAGGGGGGCCGGACCATCATTCCTCACAGGGCGACGAGGCCACCGCTACACTTTGCCGCCTGCCCTCTGCAGACTCCCGGGCCGAAGGGAGCCACCATGTTTCTTTCGTTTTGCAAGGATCGTGGAGCCCTATCGGCGCATCACACCTCTGGGGGTGGGGACTTGGAACAGCCAACACAGCCTGCTGTGAAGAAGGAACCTGGAAGCCATCGGAGGATCGATACTCTTGAGAACCTTAAAAAAAGAAAACGTTTTCCAACAGCAACGTGTCCGGGGAGGGAGGGGGGGGACTATTGCAGAATTTGAGTCTCTCTCTCTCTCTTGGCCTGCTTTGTGGAAGCCCAGAAACAGCCAAAGGCCCCCTGCCAGATGTGGAGCGGCAGGGGATCTGTAAAGCCCAGCCGCCCTTCTCCATTTCTGGACTGCAGCAGGCCAGGGTGAGGACTCGGATGATGAGTGTGGACAAAGCAACAACGTCCCTGCGGAAGAGGAAATTCTCCCTCTCCCTCTCTTTCTCTTATGCCAACAGTGCGCACTGCTTGAAAAGGGAGCCGGGGGGGGGGAGAGAGAGGAGAGGACAAGCAGCCACACCCACAACCCGTGGACCCCACTTTGCAGCACTCTTCGCACAGGGGGTGATCAAATGCAGTCTGAGCCGTCCACTCTCCACACGTGACCTACTTTTCTCCCCTTCCTGCTGCAACCTCCCCCTTTGTGTGCATGTGTAGGGTTTTTTGCGGGGTTGGGGGTGTTGCTCCCACTGCTGACCCACTTGAGACCCCAGAGAGGACGTGCCATCTTTGACTTGTAAAACAGCGGAGTCCTCCGTCCGTTCCGACAGCGCAGCACAGCGAAGAAGCCCCCACCGTTCTTCAAGACTTGTTGAAGGAGGGAGGGAGGGGGGGAGATGGGTAGGTGGGCTGATTCTGGTCCTTTGGGAGCCAACAGCTTGTGGGGAAAGGGAGGGTCCGAGGCTGCGTGTGCGTGTTTGTGTGCGTGTGTGCGTGTATGTGTATATGTGTTGCTGCTGTAAGTGATTGTCGATTCTTATTTTATGCTACGGGGGTGGGGGCGCTTACTCATTAGCACCCAGGACAATCTGCTAAATCCCTCATTCTTCCCCCACCCTCTGCCACCCCAAATCTCTTGCAATTGTGTTTCTAAAGTGGGTGGGACATCCTACATCTCCCTGCTGCTGCTGCCGCCACCCCCACCCCCCAAAAAAACCCCCAATCATGCCAGGGGATAATTTTCTCCCGACACCAGTCAGTATATTTGCAGAATCATTGTGTCATTGGTCAAGGGGTTGGGGTGGGGAAGAGTGGCTGTATGTGACCCTCCCCCTCTTGGCTCTACCCCATCCCTTCCGTTATCTTCCCCACCCCGACCCCCAAGCCTACCCTGGTATGCATCAGAAAAATGCTATTAATGAAATGAAATAAATGGAAATTCTTCTATGGCACCCAAAGGCTTTGGCCCCTGGGTTTGCTTTTGAGGGAGAAGGGCAGAGCTGGGCTCGGGTGGGAGGAAGATGAGGGCGATGTTCATCATTTCAACCTTGAATGTGGAGCCTGTGTGCTGCCCTGCCCCGCGATTGTTGCTGGGCTACAGCTCTCGACATCTCTCACTACTGGCCGTGCTGGCTCAGAGCGACTGGAAATGGCACCTTAGAAAATCTGGAGGGCGGCAAGGTCTCCATCCCTGACTTAGGCCATCATTTCCCCATGCAGTGAATTCCTACAAGACTGAGCCTCTCCTGAGATGACAAACCCCTTTGTTTTGAGCTCCCCTTGTACACAATCAGAGGCCGGAGGGCTTTGAAGGTGGAAATGTCGAGGTAAGTTAGGATTGGAACCACAGAAATATGAGAACATGAAGTCACCCTCCACCACCCACACCAGTAAGTCATACCTAGGCAGAAGAATAATGACTTCCAACAATAACTCTTAGGACTGGCTAAGATGGGGGTAACAAATATGGGGCTCCCCAGGTGTCGGAGATCTGAGTGGGCAAGCTCCTTCCAGACTCCAACCCCACTCTACACACACACACACACCCCGGAAAAATCTGATTTAATTTTGTCCAGCGTGCATTGGAAGTGTATACAGGCAAAAGATTTGAGATTGGATGTGCTTGCTCGCAGTCTTACAAGGGTTTGCTATTTCCTCCCAGTATTTCTTGGGACCTTGAGAGGGTGCTTTGGGTTCAAGTAGCACTGGTTGTTGTGGGCAAAATAGGCCACTGGATTGCCTTGTGAGTGATTTATGGCCCTGTCTGTGCTGCAGGTTGGTTCTGTTAGCAGATTAGGTTCCTCTGCATACGATAAGGCGCAAGGTGGGCTTGGGGGCTGAATGATTATGCTCCCTGTGATGTGGGAGCAATTCCACACCTTTTCCCCTCTCCATAATTGGCAGCCTGGCTAGCATTCTCAACCTGGGAGTGTTGCAGGATGCCTTCCTCAGCCGCCATATAGATGCTTCAGCCATTCTCATTTGCTGTCAGGAGAAGGGCCTTGGCCTACCTATGAAACCAAACTGAAGTGGTAGCCTGGGCTTAACCAACTCATACTGTACATCAGGTGGGTGGTATTTTTATATCTCTTCCCCCCCCTTCTTTAAAATCCATAAAGGTCTCTGCAAATGAAGCTAGCTGGAGAGCGTTTAGCCATTCCTACTTGCTAGTGTTGTATTCTGTTTACATGTGGGAATATATATTTTTTTCTATCAACCTCCATCCCGCATACCTGTAATTCGAAGTGGTACAACCCATTCCGCTACCTCATTCTGTCGCCTATGTAAATAAGGCCTCAAGATCAAGGGCACCAAGCTGCTGCTTCCTCTCTCAAGTTTGTTCTTTCTCATATCCTGGATTTGCCCCTTAGCCACTCCTTTGCAATACAGAGAGGATACAATACAGTGACACTTGCCCCAAACTCATGCCTTTCCAGATATTGTTGGACTACAGCTCCCATCATCCCTGAAACGTGGCCTTGCTAGCTTGGGGCTCATGGGAACTGGAGTCCGGTAACACCTTGAAGGACCCCAGGTTACCCACTCCTACCCTAAGTATTTGCAGCAACCTAATAAGGTCAGGTTACAAGGGACGCGGGTGGCGCTGTGGGTTAAGCCACAGAGCCCAGGGCTTGCAGATCAGAAGGTTGGCAGTTCGAATCCCCGTGTTGGGGTGAGCTCCTATTGCTCGGTCCCTACTCCTGCCAACCTAGCAGTTGAAAGGCACAAAGTGCAAGTAGATAAAGAGGTACTGCTCCAGTGGGAAGGTAAACGGCATTTCTGTGCGCTGCTCTGGTTCGCCAGAAGCGGCTTAGTCATGCTGGCCACATGACCCGGAAGCTGTATACTGGCTCCCTCGGCCAGTAAAGCGAGATGAGTGCTGCAGCCCCAGAGTCATCTGCAGCTGAACCAAACGTTCAGGGGTCCCTTTACCTTTAGTAAGGTCAGACCACATATTATTAGCCCATCTGAGTCGCAGAGGGGCTGGTGGATTTTGAGGTATGACCTTGCAACCTTATGGTTCACAAATCCTTTACAGCAGTTCTCCGGTATAAACTTGCCGGCTGCAGGAAGAGGAAGTCCACATCACTCAAGCTACACCCAGTGCTTGGAACCCTGAATCGTTCACAGGTCATTGTGTATCTTGTATCTATAACCATGGCTTCCACCCACCAGAGAGCAACTCTGCCATTAACTCTGCACACCCCTCCATCCACTCATTGTGCCATAACTTGCCTGTTTCCACTCCTGCCTTTTGACTTAACCCAGTGAATGTATAAGCAAGCTAAGTTTGTAATCAGTTTTGGGTTGGGTTGGTTTAGGAAAAAATGGGCCATATCAGTACTGCCCCAAAGATGGTTGATAGCCTTGAATAATCAAACTTAGTTATCCAACCACCACCTACTTCTTGATGGAAAGACCTTGGAGGTGGGGCCTCAAGACTAGACAGGATACGTGGGGTTTGCTTTGGGCCAAGTGTACACATGCGATTTAAGGTTTGGTTCACACATTCGTGTACCTTGCTGGATTGCTCCTCAGTAGCTGAATGACTGGACCATAAAGAAGGCTGATCTCCGAAGAATTGATGCTTTTGAATTACGGTGCTGGAGAAGACTCTTGAGAGTCCCATGGACTGCAAGAAGATCAAACGCATCCATTCTTAAGGAAATCAGCCCTGAGTGCTCACTGGAAGGACAGATCCTGAAGCTGAGGCTCCAGTACTTTGGCCACCTCATGAGAAGAGAAGACTTCCTGGAGAAGACACTGATGCTGGGAAAGATGGAGGGCACAAGGAGAAGGGGGCGACAGAGGACGAGATGGTTGGATAGTGTTTTCGAGGTTACCAGCATGAGTTTGACCAAACTGCGGGAAGTAGTGGAGGACAGAGGTGCCTGGCGTGCTCTGGTCCATGGGGTCACGAAGAGTCGGACACGACTAAACGACTAAACAACAACAACAAGCTGGATGACTGAATGTGTGAGCTGTCCCCATTGAAATCTGGGGTGGACATTGGAAGATCTGTCTTGACTGGTGGTTCTGGTTATCCCTCATTTGCACATGCGTGGCTGTCTTTGGTGCTGCAGTCGTCACTTCATGCCCTAAGAGGGAGTGATGTTGCAAGCACAGACCTGATGGAAAATCACCATTGAAAACTATTTAATCAAAGGGTGGAGGGCTTGGGATGGTGAATTCTGGAGGGTTTGGAACATTAGCATATGTTGGTTCATCAGTATGTGCTGGGACATTAGCATATATGGGGGTGCTTGGAACTTCTGCATATATTGGATTGGCATCCGCCTTCTCTGAACTATCGGAGCTCCACTCAGAACTCTCTGAGCCGTCCTCATCTCCTGAAGACTTGTCTTTTCCGTGCTCCTTCTGTTTGCGACGGCGATACCTGCGGTTAAAGAGAGGAACTGCCTTAAGAGCATGGCAAGACATCTGTTTTAGTTTTGCTGCTCATTCCCAGGCAGCCAGCGAAAGCTGATGGAATAATAATAATATTAATTTTAATTAATTAATAAGTGCTTCCAACGTTCAGAGGGTTTTGCATACATTGTCTCCCGCAGAAAGAGGATTGAGGCTCAAGCTGTCTTGCCAGGTGACTTCAGCTTGATCCATCCCATACATTTCAAGCACATGGCTTCCCCCAGAGAATCCTGGCAACGAGCTGTGTGAGGGGTAAACCAAAGTTCCCAGAACCCTTTGGGGGAAGCCATGTGCTTGAAAGGAACGGCATGGGTGTGACCTTCATGGTATGGAACAGGTTTGAACGAGGGCTATTTTGAGTCCTTGGCTCACTCCCCTAAGCCAGGGGTGGAGAACCCGTGGACACAATTCCCAACATCCCTCTGGGCTCTCAGTGATGCTGGATGCAGCTGATGGGAGTAACAAAGATCCAAAATATTTGGAGGACCACATTGACCCATCCATACTTTTGATGCTATTCTAAGACTCTGCTGTGTAGCCCAGTTCTCCCTGCCCTGGAGTTGAGCTACGGTTTTGAAAGAATAGAAAAAAAAGAAAAGAAAAAAAAGAATAAATTACACGTATCCACAAAGACTAAATATTCATGAACTTACCACCATGCTGCTCCTATACCAAGCAAGAGCAGAAGTGGCACCAGCACTGCTGCAATAACATTGGGCCCTGTGCAAAAGGAACAGGATAACATTTTTGAGAAGGCAGAAGTTTTGAGAGACCAAGGTGGGACCATGGTGAAGACCTGCATCAACAGCATCCTAAGGGCACTTGTAGCCAAAAACAGGGTCACTGCGCTTGGACAAAGAAAACCACCAGAAAACCGCCAAGTGCCGTTTTTGCATGAAGGTAAGGATTCTTAAAAGGGATGTGGGTGGCGCTGTGGGTTAAACCACAGAGCCTAGGACTTGCCGATCAGACGGTTGGCGGTTCGAATCCCCGAGATGGGGTGAGCTCCCGTTGCTCAGTCCCTGCTCCTGCCAACCTAGCAGTTCGAAAGCACGTCAAAGTGCAAGTAGATAAATAGGTACCGCTCCAGCGGGAAGGTAAACAGCGTTTCCGTGCCCTGCTCTGGTTTGCCAGAAGCGGCTTAGTCATGCTGGCCACATGACCCGGAAGCTGTATGCCGGCTCCCTCGGCCAATAAAGTGAGATGAACGCCGCAACTCCAGAGTCGGCCTCGACTGGACCTAATGGTCAGGGGTCCCTTTACCCTTTACCTTTAAGGATTATTAATATTGATACATACCCCGATGTCTACATGATAGCTACAGTGCAAATTAGGCAAAAGTAAAGGAGATGGGCCCCAATTAGGGTGTTCAAGGCTCCAGCTGAAGCGCCCCAGGCCATGTTGGCTCTCAGTTTGTACTGACATGTACAGAGAGTAGTGAGAGATGCTGTGACTGGAGGGAGACGTTGAGGGATAGAGGTATAGAAAGACAAGTTACCTGCACATACAAAGGGGTCAAGGCAGGAAACTTTGATAAGCTGGCAGTTTGAACACTGTGCCACTTCGTAGGGTCGGAACCGGGACTTGGCTGTGGAAATGTCAGGGAAAGGGGATTCCATTAGACAATGACCTCTTTTGAACATTCTGCCAATCTCTTGTTGATTCAGATGTCATGCCAAGCTATGGTTTGCTGTGATGTCTGGACCAAATCAAGTCGGCAGATTATGATTTGAGAACGACCATCAAACCAGGAGCTGAAACGTGGTATGAAACCTAAGGTTTGGTGTCACCTATGAATCAACAAACCATGGTTTGGAATGCTGATCCGGTCCTGGAAGCTGCTGCTTCAGATAGCAGCTAGATATTCTTCAGGGGACAGCGAGAAACTACCCAAATAATGATTTCCATTATTTGGAATTATTCCAGGCAGAGGGCCTTCTCGGTAGTGGCACCTGCCCTGTGGAACACCCTCCCACCAGATGTCAAAGCGAACAACTACTACCAGACTTTCGGACGACATCTGAAGGCAGCCCTGTTTAGGGAAAGCTTTTAATGTTTGAGGCATTACTGTATTTTAATATTGTGTTGGAAGCTGCCCAGAGTGGCTGGGGAAACCCAGCCAGATGGGCGGGGTATAAATAATAATAATAATGTTGTTGTTGTTGTTATTTATTTCCCTGCACGTGTGGACATGGTAGTTTCAAATCTAAGTGTGTGCTTAGTGAAAATCATGGTTTGGTGGTATGCCTGAACCAACTCAAGGGCACAAAACTGGCAATGAATTTAAATAACCAGTAAAGTCTCCTCTTTGACTTCACAAGCACTAACACGGATAACAGTGCCAACCTGCATTTGCACACACAATCCCTGGATGAGATCGTTTTCATTTATTCCTGATCTGGTTACTACCTTCTTTTTCCTGGGGCTGCGAGGAATGGATATCCACCATTTATAACTGGCATCACACACACACACACACACACACAAACACACAAACGGACACTTTTTAAAAAAAACAGCAGACACCATATGGCCAGACAGATGCCCCTCTAGTTTGGACAGACGGACTCACCACAGGAAAGGCTGCAGACTGTGGATATAAAAGAGAAAAACAAAGGCATGAGCACTAGAGAAAGGCGATCGCTTCCCGCTCACAGGACTCCATGGCCCTATCTTGCCCTACCCAACAGGTCACCCCCAAAACCCTGTCACCTCCATGATGTGTGGGCCACGTTCTCCCTCAGCTGTATGCCTCTGACCAGAGGTTCTGCCCTCAAGCACTTACCTTCCTTCACAAAGGCCTTAGATGCCTCTTCCAATCGCTTGACAAAATTCTTCTTTTCCTCCTCTGCCTCCCTCATAAGGCTGCCATGATCTGTAGGGAAAGAGAAATGGGTCGATAGAAGCCAAGGCTTTTGAGTTCAGCAGAAGGGTTAGTGCCTGATCAATTGCCTGGTTAATTGGGGCCACCAAGGGGTGGAATGAGAGAAGGAGGGTTTGGGGGTATTTTGTGTGTGCGTGTGTGAGCTACTGCGATGGCAATCAATGGCTCCCTGACATACCGTAGTTGTGCTGCAGGCAAGTCTGGAAGGAAGAGGAGGACAGGCTAACAACAACAACTACCTTTCCCACTCCTCTTGATAATCTGTTCAAGGTGGAGAAAGAGAGTCCCAGCCTCACGCTCCATATGTTCCCGTTCTGCAGAGGAAACAAAAAACAATGATGCCTGATTCTTTCCTAATTCTCCATTTTGAACACACCCTCCCACACGGTGGAACCTAAGTTGGTGTTCTTTGAATGCCTCAGCAATCCTGGCCTTTAGGACCGAAAGGGTGAGGGCAACCGTGCATGCACCTTGCCAACAAAGGTCCGTATAGTAAAAGCCATGGTTTCCCCAGTAGTGATGTATGGAAGTGACAGCTGGACCATAAAGAAGGCTGATCGCCGAAGAATTGATGCTTTTGAATTATGGTGCTGGAGGAGATTCTTGAGAGTCCCATGGACTGCAAGAAGATCAAACCTCTCCATTCTTAAGGAAATCAGCCCTGAGTGCTCACTGGAAGGACAGATCCTGAAGCTGAGGCTCCAATACTTTGGCCACCTCATGAGAAGAGAAGACACCCTGGAAAAGACCCTGATGCTTGGAAAAGATGGAGGGCACAAGGAGAAGGGGGCGACAGAGGATGAGATGGTTGGATGGTGTTCTTGAAGCTACCAGCATGAGTTTGATCAAACTGCGGGAGGCAGTGGAGGACAGAAGTGCCTGGCGTGCTCTGGTCCATGGGGTCACAAAGAGTCGGACACAACTAAACGACTAAACAACAACAACAAACCGTGCATGCAGGTGAGGCAGTTGAGGAAGAAACACACCCCTAACTGCAGGAATCCTTTCTACATGCCTGCTGTCTGCTAAGGACCTGTGTGTGTGCCTGGGATCCCTGAGCATCCCTGAATATTTTGGGGCTACTTCTGCGGCACTCCCAGTCTAATCAGGGAAGCCACCAGGCCAGGTAGATGTTGGCTTTGCCTCCTGCTGAGACGGCACCCTGGAATATGTTAAAATATTTCCCCGAGGGTGCAGGTTGCAATGGGAAATCAGCAATGGTAGCTCATCTGCCGTTCCCCTTCTTGTTGAGGAGCCCTGGGGAGTGCCCCTGAGCAACCCTGACACTTCTTAAGGACACTGTTTTCATGTGCTCTAAATGACGCTACGTAGAGTCACATGTAGGAGGCCCATGCGCATTCTCACAGGCTTGTGGGAGGGAAAGTGGGTGCCAAGTTTGCTGTGGTGTATGGGTTCCATATGGAAGTTTGCATCCCTGAAACTCCAACCACAAAAGTGCTTCCAATAAGAAAATCCTGTTCGACTGTGCTGTTTTAAAATATGGGCTTTAATAATGGCTCTGACGGTATTTTGATTTGTAGCATCTGATGGCATTTCGTAAGCCACTTCTAGGTGTCGTCAAAAATGTTAAGCCGTGTATAAATTACCCAAATGAAAATAATGAAATAGATTGCTGCACACAGGGTGTTGTATAGGGACGCTATACAAAATGGAGCAGATGGCTTCAACTTGTCTTCATAATCCATTCCGCCCACTGCTATAACTTCGGCCTCCTCTCCCTTTGCCAGATGATATTCTGCTGCCCAATTCTTCCTGCTCACTGCAGCCAGTGACAACCGAGAAATCTATGTGGGTGAATTTAATCAGAGCAGAGTTGCATGTTATCATTGTGCTCAACAAAACCATGGGCTCTTGGGTTCCTTGGACCAGGGAGGGGGAAACCTGTGACCCCTCCCCACTAACACTGATGGGCTACAACTCCCAGCGATCATAACCATTGGCAACACAGGCTGGGGATGATTGATGCGAGTTGGTTGGAGCCCAATAACATCTAGAGGGCCACAGATTCCCCATGGCAAGCAGGGGCGACACCTGTTCTCTTCAGCCATTTGAGTCATTAGCAAAATCAGCAATAGCTTTGTACTTTTCAGGGTATTATCCCACTGCACCTGTGCTTCTTCGGACCCAGAATGGCCTCTGTCTTGGATTTCTGACTGGTCAGAAGCCTAGCCCACTTCGCTGGGGGAGTTGTAGGGGGTTAAATACGGAGCGAGAGAACCATGTACTCCACCTTCAGCTCCTTGGAGAAAATAAATGCAGTACAGTGGTACCTCTGGTTACGTACTTAATTCGTTCCGGAGGTCCGTTCTTAAGCTGAAACTGTTCTTAACCTGAAGCACCACTTTAGCTAATGGGGCCTCCCGCTGCTGCTGCGCCGCCGCCACATGATTTCTGTTCTCATCCTGAAGCAAAGTTCTTAACCCGAGGTACTATTTCTGGGTTAGCAGAGTCTGTAACCTGAAGCGTACGTAACCCGAGGTACCACTGTACTGTAATTAAATAAGTAAGTTCCAGGCTTTCGACCCACTCAGATTGTAAAATAAAATGACAATGGGGAGCTGGATAATGTGCCATTTGGAGGTTCAGAAACGGGGACCTTTTGCATCCCCGTGGAGAAGCTCCTCCCTAGTATCTGATGGACATTGCTTGCGCCTTCTCTTAATTTTGTACCCAAATAGTGTCTGCCATAGGCGGCGAGGTCTTCAGCGCTGCCTATGAAAAGCTTCCCCAGGTTTTTGGTGGCCTCTGAGTCCTGGCCAAGCAGCAAATAGGAGTCGTAGCCGAAGTAGACAATGGCATCTGGCCAGCAACGGAGGCATGTGGCTGCCAGCTGCACAGGCAGGGACCAGGCCAGCCAGCCGAGCAGCGATATCCTGGCCATAGGAACCAGGACAAAGGAGCCGCTTCCTGCTCAGGGTAGTGCTTGTTCCGAGCCAAGCTCCTCACCTGCTTCTTACATCACTTCCTGTTGTAGCATCACAGAGACTAGCGCCAAACGCACCGTCTATTTACTCTCTCTCTCCTTGGCAACGTTTCCATGTGTCATGGAGGTAGTTGCCTTTCCAGTGGTACCTGACTTTACGGAAGAGTTTTCACCGACTGCAGTGTAGGGGAAGAGGCAATGGCACCCCAGTTCCTGCTGGTGTTCCCCCTTTGGCTCTTCTCCCTCCAAGCGGTGGCTGGTTGCCTTCAGTGTGACCGCCGCTTCTTGGATTCTGTGGCCACCTTGCTGCTGGAAATGCTCCCAGCCGACCTTCCCGACCGACCCGCCCTCATACAACGGCACATCCAGGCCTTTGCTGACCTGCATGGCACCTTCCTCCGAAAGATGCACGAGCGAGTGCTGGGTGCGAACTGAGCAGAGAAGCGTCGGCTGGGCTGTAACATCTGGGGCGGGGTGGAGAAGGGTTGAGGTTACAGCCACAAATGTCTCTTTTGCAGATGTCCGAGGAGTGATGTCTATCAAATCAGATGTCATTAGTCAGTTGAGGGACATCAAGAGCAGCAAAACCTGGAAAGGTGAACTGGGGGGAAGGAGAGAAGGAGCTGGGGGTATGGGATTGCATTTGGGATTGGGTTGTAGGTTAGAAATTTGATGCAGTTTGCAGTACTTAACCTATTTTACGCCTACGAAAACACAGCTGTCTCCCCACATTCGCACTTCTCCAAATCCTGAAATGCAGCTCGCCAGCCAAATAATCTGTGGGAAGACACATGAGCTAGGGTTAATTTTGCCTGTTGTTAATAATAATAATAATAATTAATAATAAAATTTATACCCCACCCATCTGGCTCGGTTTCCTCAGCCAATCTGGGCGGCTCCCAACAGAATATTAAAAGTGCAATAAAACATCATTCATTAAAAACTTCCCTAAACAGGGCTGCCTTCAGATGTCTTCTAAAAGTCAGATAGTTGTTTATTTCCTTGACATCTGATGGGAGGGCGTTCCACATGAATGCATATATTAGTGAAAACAGAATACCGAAATGCATTCTACATGGGGAAATTGCTTTGCCAAAATGTTTATGTGAGGCAAAATAGCACAAAAATGGGTGTATGCTGGGGGTGGGGGTGGGAATCACACTAAAATGCTGAGATATTTTCTGGAGGACTTAAAAAAAAAAAGAAAAAGCAAACTGATATGGAAATGTGGAAAAATGAGAAAAAGAGAGAAACTAAAATGGACAAATTTCCCCAGTCCTACTTAAACGCTGAATCTCATAAAGCTATTCAATCAGCATAGGAAGTGGGGTGAGGAGACCACCCAAATATTTAGGTGGTTCTCCTAAGCTTTGAAGTTCTGATATCCTGCACTCACGACCTAACCCAAGTCCCCAGCATGACACTATGGGTCCTCATAAGCCTCCTCTTTGTGTTTGCTAAGGCCCTTGCCCCCTAATTTTATTTATTTATTGCTGTTAGGGCGTATGTGTTTCACTTTGTGGGGGAGGGGATTCTGAGCATTGCCAGTTCTTGTGTGTGAAATGGGTATTTTTGGTGCCCCAACCGTTCCTTCCATTTCCAAAGGAAATGGGTCCAAAAAGGTTGGGGACCCCTCATTTGATCCCAGACCTAAAGCAGGTCTGTAGCTCAATGGCAGAGATCCATTTTTGCAGGTGAAAGATCCTGGGCTCAGTCCCCTGCTTCTCCAGAAAGGGCTTGGGAGAGACTCTTGCCTGAAACCCAGATAAGCCACTGATGGAAGCCCACAAAGCCAGGATTGATATTTTAGTGACAGAATTAATTCCAAGTATATTCCTAACTGAAATATACTCATGCTCTTTATTCAGCTCATAGTGGTGAGGAGGGAATGAAAGTCCCCTCAAAGTATCTGCTTTATATACATTATTTACACAATGGGCTGCACGTGATTGGCTAATTCCGGAATTCTCCTGTAGGCCAATCAGGTTGTGGATTCACTTCTATCTGGAGCTGGATTGGGTGGCTCCTGCCGACCAACCATACTGCTGCATTGTTCTAGGACCAATCAGACTGCTGCATTCTGAATCCTATTGTTCTAGGACCAATCAGACTGCTGGCATTTTGGATCCTATTGTTCTAGGACCAATCAGACTGCTACAGTTTGGATCCTATTCAAGTCAGTACATAACACTAACCCTAATCCTAAATATAACTTGAGAGGTCAGGTTTTTTATGTGCTGTGCAGCTTTGCCAAGCTAAAATTCTAACCCAGCATCTTAGGAATTATCTCCCTCTAACAAACCTTAAGCTCTGTTTCCTTCCTCAGGCGTCTTCCTGTGGCAACTCTCTCTGTATCAGCTCCGGGTATCTCTGCGAAGGCGCCTGCAACAGTCGCTGGAGAAATTCGCCGACCTCGGTACCAATCGGGAAGGGAAACCAGGGCAGTTAAAGGCCCCAGCACCTCTTATTCTAACCCACTGCCCTGACCTTCACTTCCCCCTTTATCCGGGAATCCTGGGGTCAGGGTTGGGGCTCAGGGTGGGCCAGGGGTGCCCTCTCCCTATGTATAAAATACCGCTACTGGCAGTCTTGTAGCCAGCATTGCTCAGAAATGATGAGAAACAAAATCAGCGTGCTTTCTAAATCAGCGGTCAAAATCGGCACACTTTCGAAATCCGTGGTTAAATTTGATGCAGTTTTCAAAGATTCAGTCCACAATCCTGATTAAGGATGGCATGCAATTATGTCCAAACTTAGACAAAAAACCTGCTCCTGATTTGATCTCAGGACCCATCATGCAAAATTTGGTTACATTATCTTGAGAGGTGCCCAAATGGATATAGCAAACAGATAAACAATATATGGTAGAGGATAGGGACTGTCAATCCTTTCAGGACCATAGGCACATTTGCAGAATGGTGTAATGTTTGTTGACACACACACAATCACTACCATAAAGTGCACACTGCAGCCTGTGCTATTGACTACAAGAGAAAACTTCTTTCAAGGCCAAATTCATTTGAAGGAATTCAGCTGACAGATGGGGCCTTGCAGGCACCATGCAAAGTGCCTGGGAGAGGGTGGGCCCTGACCCTGGAGATATGGCCAGGAATAAAACCTACGGAATAAAAATATACGGCTAAATACAGAACGATAACAAACGCAAGAATAATGACCGTGTAACAACTTCCTGCATTAAACATCATCAGTTCAGTGAGGTCTGCAGATGGGGGAGCAAGAAAAGAGCAAGTGACTTGCTGCGCCAGACGTCGATTTAAAATATACATATTTGTATTTTGGGCAGAACGTGCTCACTTGGAGGAAGAGCTTCGTTATAAAAGGGGGAACTGAATTGCTGTGGTCCTGGTAGGCAGAGGTGGGTTAGGATGTGCCATACTTTGAGTTGATTCCTTGCACATTGAAATAAAAAATTTAAGGTCATATATATATAATAAACGTACCAAGCAAAACATGTACATAAATATATAAACCACATGTCTGAAGCAGCACAAGAAAACAGCCCTGAAACCATTCTGACTCCCAAACTGACCAAATGATTTCTCTGCAAGGTCAAGGAAAATGGAAAAGCCTCCCCATTGTCTTTTCAATCACAAATCCTGTCTTAAGGGTATGTCTGTGTATGAATAGAGTGAGCCTGTGACCTGGCTCAGGAACTAAGTATTTATCATTACAAAAGACTGGCCAGGCTCCCCAGGGTATTCAATCAAGTAAGCATTAACAGGTAACCTGCCAGACAGGAGGTAAACAACGCACTCAGATTTCTGTTGTAGACTGCCCTTTCTGTGATGTACTGTATTTTTCGCTCTATAAGACGCACCAGACCACAAGACGCACCTAGATTTTGGAGGAGGAAAACAAGAAAAAAAATATTCTGAATCTCAGAAGCCAGAACAGCAAGAGGGATCACTGCGCAGTGAAAGCAGCAATCCCTCTTTCTGTTCTGGCACCTGGGATAGCTGCACAGCCTGCATTCGCTCCATAAGACGCACACACATTTCCCCTTACTTTTTAGGAGGGAAAAAGTGAGTCTTATAGAGCAAAAAATATGGTAGGTATGATGTATCTGGGGGTGGTCTGGGACTCCAGGGCTGGCAATTTAAAAATGTCTATATAAGGGTGGGCACACCTTTGTTTGGGGTCCTCCTTCTCCTGCGTGTGAAGGGGGCACCCTGTTGCAACAGTTCAGGCTCACTAGCTGCTTTGCTTCTCAATATTCTCTGGTGGGCCTCTGTTATTTTCTCTGACCGATGGAGAACCTGCAAAGAACTCTATAAGGGCTCTTGTGTCCCCCATAAGGGAATAACGGCAGATTTCTGTTTATTACAACATAATTGTAAATTGCATGCCAGCTAAGTGAGACTCCCTCTGCCTGGGTTTTAGGTCTCTAAACCAGGCCTCTCTCTTTTCTTCCACCCTCACCCTTCAGCTTGTTCTGAGGATTGCAGTAAGTATCAGACTCCCTCCCCCATCAGAACCCTTCCTCCGCCCCCCAAGTTGCCCACACAGCCTCCTGGACTGGAACCGATGCACCAGCGAGGCCCCCCAGATCCCTGCCTTGTTCCTCCCTCTGCAGCGGTGACGGAGGGCCCTGTCCTGGACTGCTGGACCTGCTTACGCATCGCCACCCAATGCTTTGATGGAGAGCTCTGTGGAGGTAAGACCGAGGTGGGGGGGGGGGCTTCCAGCTTCTGCCTTCTGTTCCCAAACTTGTGCACAAAGTGGCCATTGGTGCCTCCACTCTTGGCTGTTAAGAATTGGCTCCCAACACGTGTTGTAACTCTCGCTTCCTGTTCCCATTTGAAAGCCACCATTTGAGTGGCTGGACCAGGGAGCAAGATAAGAGAGGGGTGCTCATCCCGGCCAACGCAAGAGGCTAAAAGGATGTTTCTGTTGCCCCCTAGTGGAAGACAGACGCCTTGCAGAATATAATGAAGTTGTTCTTTACCTCTTCTTTGTTTGCGAGTCTGTGTTGGTGACCTCAATTGTTCTTGTGTGAGTAAATGGCTCTGCAGAGTTCTCTCCCTTTCCCGTAGAATCCGAGAGTCCAAACTTTCAGGTTTCCTGACCGGCATTTGCCTTCCTTCCCAAAGAAGCCACTGGGCACCAACCCTATTGTGGTACACAAGACCATCATTCTCCCATCCTAAGGAACCCAGGAGCTCTTGCTGCCAGCTGCTCCCATTCACTTGACCCACATCTGTCGACTCTGTCGACTGAACCTGGGACTGCCTGCAACCCATAGAGCTTACTGAAGCTACTACTGAACTGTGGCCTTTCAAAGGAGTGCAAGCATAGAATGTGGTGTGGAATTTAGATTTCTGAGAACATTGGCTGCCTTTTTTTCAGAAATCTAGTTTCTGGACCTCAAGGTTCCAGAGTAAATCTCCTACCCATTTCTATTACAGTCATACCTCGGGTTAAATATGCTTCGAGTTGAGCCTTTTCGAGTTGCGCTCCGTGGCAACCCGGAAGTAACGGAGTGCGTTACTTCCGGGTTTCGCCGCTTGCACATGCGCAGACGCTCAAAATGACGTCATGCGCATGCGCAGAAGCGGCAAAAAGCGACGCACGCGCGCGCAGACGTGCCGTCGCTAGATACGTTTACCTCTAGATGCGAATGGGGCTCTGGAACGGATCCCGTTCGTATCTAGAGGTACCACTGTACTTCTCCTTTCTTGCCACCAGATTTCCAAAAGATTTTGAAAACTTGATTGATGGACACAGGATATTCAAATCCAAGCAGAGTTAATACATGCTTAATTTCTGCTTTCTGTTTATCTAGGAAAGTTAGTTGACTGGGTCCCCCCCCCCCCCCCCGTGTGTGCAGGTATCTGCATATACAGAGGATTCCAGAAAGTAGACCTGGGTTTAAATTCAAGTCCGAATATGGAGGAGGGGGCAGTTCTCAAAATGTTTGAGAAATGCTGGCCAGTCGCTCCATATGCAGCCATGTGAGATTGGAGAATGTTGAGATTGTAGCAAGAAGCAGCAAAAAAAGGGGGGGGCAAGTCTTGAGCCTTTCTCTCTGATTTGTGTTGCAGGGAGTTCAAATGCAGAGGAGCGTTTAAGGCTGTGAACACACCATGCATTTATAGCACTTGACCCCCCCCCAATATATATATATTGAGAAGTGTAGTTCACCCCTCACAGAACTACAATTCCCAGCATCCTTAACCTACACTTTGTTGGATTTTTTTTGGGGGGGGGAAGAAGTCATGAGATTTAAATGTGCACAGCCTCAAAAAGAGAAATGGCACCTCCCACCCGCAGTCTGAAGTGATATAGTTTGCTCCCCCACCTCAGCATTCTGCCACCTCATTCTGCCTCCATGTGTAGACCAGGCCCCATTCTGGACCCAGAAGACCCAGGAGATTCTCCGCCTCCACTAACCACACTTCCCACACTTCCAGGTACTGGGTGTGCGTCAAGCATAAGAAGCAGATGCTGCGAAAAGCACTGCGCCTTTAGGGCGTTAGAGGCTGCTGGACCCTTCCAGGACCCCCTCATCTGTGAGCTTCTGCTGGCTAGACCAAATACAAATATTTGCACTTGGAATAAAAGAACATATTTGCTTCTTATTTCATAGAGTTGGAAGGGACCCCGAGGGTCATCTAGTCCAACCCTCTGCAATGCAGGGATCTCAGCTAAAGCATCCATGACAGATGGCCATCCAACCTCTGCTTAAAAACCTCCAAGGAAGGAGTCCGCCACCTTTCGTGAGAGTCTGTTCCAGCTCTTACTGTCAGAAAGTTCTTCCTGATGTTTAGTTGAAATTTCCTTTCTTGTAACATGAATCTATTGGTTTGGGCCCTAGCCTCCAGAGCAGGAAGAAACAAGTTTGCTCCATCTTCCATGTGAGTGACAGCTCTTTAGATATCGGAAGATGGCTATCACATGTCCTCTTGGTCTCCTCTTTTCCAGGCTATACATACCCAGCTCCCTCAACTGTTTCTCATAAGGCTTGGTTTCCAGGCCCTTGATCATCTCAGTCACCTTCCTCTGCACAGGGAACAGAGAAGAGAGAGTTGCAAGCCCCCGTGGTGGATTTTAGGAAGATCTGGAGGGAGGCGGACTGTCTAGACCAGAGTTTCCAAACTTTTCATGTTGCTGACACACTTTTTAGACATGCATCATTTTGCAACACAATACCGTATTTTTCAGTGTATAAGACTGTATGAGATGTACAGTCCCCATGTATAAGATGACCCCTATTTTTTTTAACCCAAATTTAATAAATTAAGTTGTTTAGCTTTTTGGGGGTGGGGGGGGGAGAGGTCACTTCCACCAGTCGCTCACCTGCCTGCCTGCCACTGCCGATCACTTGCCACAGCCACTGCCGATTGCACACCTCGCTGCAGCCACCAGTTGTCTGCCCGCTCGCTGCCACCACCAACCCACCCGCCCACTTGCCGCAGCCACCAATCACCTGCTCACCTCGCCACAACTGCCAATTGCCTGCCCAATTGCCGCAGCCACAACCAATCACCAGCAGGCCTTGCAGCAGCCACCAATCACCCGCCCAATCGCTGCTGCCAATCTCCTGCTTGCCACTGCCATTAATCGCACGTCCCCCCTCTGCATTCACTATCCATGTATAAGACAACACCCAATTTTTGCCTTTTTTTAAAGCAAAAAGTACCGTCTTATACATGAAAAAATATGGCAATTTGGTTTTACTAGGAAAGTGGAGGTTAAACTAACCCCCTTCCAGTCCCATGAAGAGCACGGGTAGCATTTGCACGGCACACCTACACATTGCAGCTGACACACCAATGTGTCACAACACAGTTGGGAAAGATCTAGTCTAGACAGTAAGGATGGATCAATCAATCAAGCTTCTCACTTCTCCATTCTTCAGTTCAGTTCTCCATATTTCCACTGCAATTTGCAAGTTAACAACAAAAAACTCTTGAAAATTCATCAGTATCTTATTTTAAATTTGCCTTGGTAAAAACTTTCTTGTATGCAGTTTTGATTAATGCACATATTTTTGCAAGCATCAAAAGCATATGGTGCATTTGTGTTTGTTTGTTTGTTTGTTTGTTTGTTTGTTTCCACTAAAATTTCCCCCTAATATAATGCATTTTTGGACATATCTTTTGGCTGCAAATTCGGTGAAGTTCAAATTTCAAAGGACAGGTGTCTGTTCCAGTTCACGTATTGGTTCAGGAAGTATTAACTGGGTAGCTTCTCATTAAAATGCAAACAAAATGGAATTCCACCTTCATGCCTACTGAACACCTTGGTCTGTGGGCTGGAGGGAATGAGGAAGACTTTATTAAAGCCAGATCTTTGCAGTCCAAAAAGAGAGGACAGAAACAAACAACTATCAGGGTGTGTTTGTGCGTATTTATTTTGTGACTATGAGGGATAAGAAGAGGATAGGAGGGCAAGAGGTGTAAGCCAGAAGCAGAAACACTAGTTTTGGAGGCAAAAAAAGGATTTCTGGAGGTTGCTACAATGAAGATATGCAGACCACATTTCAGACTTCACAACTGGGAAGCTCAATAGGACCTTTTCCTTACGGGTCAGAAAAGGGGCGGATCTCTGCTAAATGTACAAGAAGAGCCGGTTTTTCCAGTACCTGATAATCCTGGGGGGAAAAGAGAGTTAGAGCCCCCCAAAACCCTCCCTAACCCTTTGAGGAGTGCTGAGTGAGTTGCCTCTGGGGCTCCCCCAACCCGCCTCAAGGTCCCTTTCTGGGAGAGGGAGAGCAGTGCAGCTGGCTCTGAGCTACAGGAAGGTCTATTGCTTATACTCACACGCCTATCATCACCACGAAGAGCAGTCCACCCATACACAGGACAACGGCGACTCCATTTTTGGCGATATCGGGGTCCTTTATGGGCTTTCCAAAGCGAAGGGAGAGGCGTTCCTGGGCATCCACTGCATGCAGAGACCCCAGATTATTCAGTGTTTTAGGCTGAGCACACGTCATACATTCGAAGCACACTGAAAAAAGTACCAGCTACAGATAGGTAGCCGTGTTGGTCTGCCATAGTCAAAACAAAAAAAAATTCCTTCCAGTAGCACCTTAAAGACCAACTAAGTTAGTTCTTGGTATGAGCTTTCGTGTATCTGAAGAAGTGTGCATGCACACGAAAGCTCATACCAAGAACTAACTTAGTTGGTCTTTAAGGTGCTACTGGAAGGAATTTTTTTTGTTTTGAAAAAAGTACATCACATACACGTACACCAAGAAACCTGGGAACTGTAGGAGGTTTAGGAGGCAGGAATGGTAGGGGTTTTTTGGGAGGGGGGGGGTAAACTGCAGTTCCCAGGATTTGGGGTCTGTGTGCTTTTTGATAGGCTTTAAATGTATCTCTTTCTTCCCATACACAGTCATGAGTCTCGAAACAGGAGACCTCCATAAAAGAATGCAGTTTGTGCTTAGTCCCAACACAGAAAAATATATATCATGATATATAAGAGACTGGGTTGTAGATAAGGAGGCCTATAATTAAAATAAAATAAAATCTGCCATGCATTTGTTAGGCAGCCTTAATGTAATCCATTGTGGGGTTGGGGGGAGGTGTTTAATTTTTTTAAATTAAATTTCTGTTTTACATTTTAGAATATTCACTTAGACAACCTTAAAATATCAATGACTTCCCTTCCTCTCTTTCCATGGTTCATTTTGCACAAGATAAATACTTGCATGTTTTAAATAAACTAAAGCATTCAGTATTCCATTATTACATCCATCAAAACTGATTTACACTGTTGAATTTATCTTTATGCTGCCAACATTTTCAAGTGGACACAATTTTCCTCCATGTATTCAATAAACATTTTCTAGTCTTCTGTAAACGTATGTTCTTCTTGTTCTCTTAGTCTACATGTTAGGTCCACAAGCTGCGCATATTCCATCAGTTTAAGTTGCCAATCTTCTTTAGCTGGGACTTCACTTGTTTTTCACGAGCTACAGTAGTGGCATACATAAATAACCTTTTTTGATACCTGGGAATTCGTAATCTATTGTTTATAGGCCTCTCAGGCCACCGCTTGCAACATGGGCTAAGAACAGCGGCCTACCTTATAAGACTGTGGTAAAGCTTTTCTGAGACAATATATTGTGGAGCGCTTATAAGTCAGGAATGGGAAATTTTTGGCCCTCCTGGTGTCATTGGACTCCAATTCCCATCAGCCCTGCTCAGCGGTTATAGGGGGAGCACCCAGAAGCCCACATGTGTCCTATCTAAATACTGATTTCATCATCTTTCCATGTCAAATTCAGATTAGGCCCTTTGTCTTTCAGTTCTGACATTTCTTCAGTCAGGCCTGCAAAAACTCCCTGCTTAATGTTTGTGCAGGAATGCCCATGGGCCACCCGGTAAGCGCTGCCCTCTTCTGGACATGGTATCACATGGCAGCACCCAGAGTAACACCTTTCCGATGAATTCTCCCGGAAGCGAAACCTGTATCCTAATCTGGGCTCCTGTCAGCATTTGGGCCTAGAGTCGGGATTTGTGCTTCCACCACTTCACTTTGGCCAAGGAAGGGAAGCAGAGCAAAACAAACTGGACCATCAAGGCAGCTTCTTACACCTTCCGTGTCAGGCCATCTGAACCGAATTGGGCTGAACAGGAAGAGTTCGTTGCTGCTGTTCCTACATGACGGGACAAATTCATCTTACGTCTCACCTTCCCCTCCTTGCGGGATGGAGATAATGGCCCCAAGCGGGTGTCATGCCTTGCTAGAGGATTCCTCCTCAGATCAGGATCTGGAGCTCCCCCTCAGGGCCATCTAGAAGCCTGGACCTCTTAGGGGAGCCTGTAAGGGGTCCCACCCCACAGGAGGGGAGCTCTGCCTCAGAAGCAGAGTGACTCTCCAGCCCTCAGGACCGCTGGCCACTGGAAAAGGCAGCTCAGCATCCTCACGTTCAGAAATGGACTCCTTGTGAGCAAGACTCTCCTCCCAAGGAGGACTTCTTCCAGAAATTTAACAACAACAACAACAATTTGTTATTTATACCTCGCCCATCTGGCTGGGTTTCCCCAGTCACTCTGGGCAGCTCCCAACAGAATTAAAGGTAAAGGTAAAGGTACCCCTGCCCGTACGGGCCAGTCGTGACTGACTCTGGGGTTGTGCGCTCATCTCACTCAAGAGGCCGGGGGCCAGCGCTGTCCGGAGACACTTCCGGGTCACGTGGCCAGCGTGACGAAGCTGCTCTGGTGAGCCAGCACAGCACACAGAAATGCCATTTACCTTCCCGCTATAAAGCGGTACCTATTTATCTACTTGCACTTAAGGGTGCTTTCGAACTGCTAGGTAGGCAGGAGCTGGGACCGAACGACGGGAGCTCACCCCGCCGCGGGGATTCAAACCGCCGACCATACGATTGGCAAGTCCTAGGCACTGAGGTTTTACCCACAGCGCCACCCGCGTCCCTAGTCCCAACAGAATTAAAAGCACAATAAAACATCAAACATTAAAAACTTCCCTAAACAGGGCTGCCTTCAGATGTCTTCTAAAAGTCAGATAGTTGTTTATTACCTTGACATCTGATGGGAGGGCATTCCACAGGGCGGACGCCACTACCAAGAATGCCCTCTGCTTGGTTCTACGAATCTACAGCTATGTTGTGGGTGGGATTCTGGCCCCTCCTGCTTAACTCCAGGCTGAGAGGGCTGCTGGAATGATGTCTTCATATTAGTGCTGGGCCGTGTCTACCTTATCTTTGGATTTCCTCTGCTGGATCCTGGTGAGTAACCTTTGGGTTCTTGCTTTTGCTTGTGCTCTCATGATCTGCTTGTGCAGACTGCCTTGGGACCCTGCGGTTGGTGGGACCTAACCCTGGCCACACCCGAAACACGTCAGTGGGTCTGACACACACGCAAACCCAGACCCCACGTTCTCTGCCACATATCACGCAAACTCCTTCGTGGACACACTGCCCAGGCCAACGTATCGTTCCTCTTTCTACCTACCAAAGCACTGGCCTATCGACAAGCAGACGGCACTGGTCTCTTGGCATCCTTTGCAATTGAGCACTTTATAGCTCAGCCAGCCTGAGGTATCAGGAGTTCGGGAAACGGAGGAAGAGAAAGAGAAAATGTGAAGAAACACCAGCCAGAGAGTAATATGGATGGTATCAATGTAATCCTACAAAACCCAGGATGTTAATCTTTTAGCAAAGCCCACTACATCCAGTCCCAACACTCTGCAGTCCAGGGATTTGCAAAATTCCCAAGACTGGGGGCAGGATCTTTCTATGTGTCTTGGGCAGTGCATGGCTGCATAGGGTTGCTATGTGTCCTCATTTTCCAGGTCACTTCCTCTTTTTCAGGGGTAAATGTGAGACATATGGCCTTTATTTGCTTTGAATGGCCGTCATATTGTCCTCTCTTTTTTGCTCTTCAAAATATGGCAACCCTACATATGGAGCCAAGCCAGTCTAGGCCCAGGCCGCTTTGAAACCATACGTTTAAAGCACAAGGATAGCATTTTAAAGTGTCATGGCCTCCCTCCCCAAGGAATTCTGGGAGCGGCAGTTTGTCCCCCTGTCCCCCTCACAGAGCCACAGTTCCTAGAGCTCCTTAGGAAGAGAGACTGGTTTTTTGAAAACCACTTTGAGAACTGAAGCTCTGTGAGGGGGCTCTTAACAAACTGCAGCTCCCATAATTGTTTGAGGGAAGCCATGTAGGGTGTGAATGTGAAGAGAATCTTGGGCATCTCTTTGTTCAGTCATGGCACTGATTAGGTTATTATTCCGTCAAATTAAAAACACCCACAAAAATTAATGCAAAACTAGCAAAACTTGGGTCTGTTTTACAGATGAAGATGAACTGCTGGCACTAATTTTTTTTAGTTGCTGGGTGGGTAGTTGAATCAATTGCCTCTCATAGATGCCCCCCACCCCCTGAGTCAAATGCCCTCTAATCCTTCCCTGTAAGCCAGTCCTTTTGGTTGTCTTTCTCCTAAATCCAGCCCTGACAACATATCCATTGCTTTCATAAATGTCTTTACAGCAGAGGTTGGCAGCGTCAGTCCCAGGGGGCAAATGCAGCTCTCTATCCATGCCTCTGTCTAACCCTTAGAAATCTCCCAAGGCCAAACCCGTCACTGGACTGCTCCATACCCTCCTCTAACATTTCCAGGGATTTTTTTTTTACTTTGCTCGAATGTGTCCTTAAACTGCAGTAACGCCTCTTGCTTCCCTGGATGTGGAGAGGTACATGTGGAGACCTCTGGTTTGTGTGCGGCTGAGCAAAGTTGAGAATCACATTGTGTGTGGCCCCCGGAAGGTCGCCCACTTTGGAATGCGGCCCCTGGGATCACAAAGTTTCCCTGTTCCTGCTGTATTGATGGCCTCCTAGCAATCCTCCCTCTATTCTCTCCATCCTTTACTCTTCTCATGAGGCCCAAACGGCTAACAGCAGAACTGGAGAGAGTCTCCTCAGCCTCCCTGGCCCATGTGCGTGCGAGAGACTCTGGCTTCCTTGAGCTGCTCCCACGCCGCATGCTATGTGTCCCCACCACAGAACCACAACAGTTCTCATTTGCTTTCAATTGCCGGGTTCCCCTCCTCTTAATACCCAGCTAGGCAACAAGATGAACTCACCACAGGCAGATTTGTCGCAAGCTGTGAGGGGAAGAAAAGCAGAGTCCGAGAATGAGTGTACATGCCCCAAATATTCTATTATCCCCAGATTTCTTTCTTTCCACATCCAAAGCGTTACCGCAGGGCAGAAATATTCCTGTCGATACAATCAACAGAACTCTGCAATAAAGCAGGGAGTTTTTCCTGGCACAACGTTCAAATCTATATTATTATTATTATTATTATTATTATTATTATTATTATTATTATTATCATCATCATATCGCCATATACCCTCAGGTCTCAGGGCATCTCACAGGATAAAATCACAACATAAAAACACAGAATACATAAAATAATACATGGAATTGGGGGAGACTTGCTACCTTTCATTTGGTGTTCCTTTAACGCTTCCTTGAGCTTCATAGTCGTTTTCCTCCGGAATTCAACCAATTCATCCAACAGAGCCTGGTCTTGGGGGTAGATCGAGATAAATAGGATGTGTGTAACATCGGGAGCACCCTACAAATTCCTTCTGTAAATGACCAAGAGGCCTTTTTCTGGCAAATGAGGCCCTGGGAGCTTCAACCCCAGCAAAAGGGCACCTGAGGGAGAGAGGAGTCGGGATCCTCACCTGTCAGGTGGGTTTGAAGCAGACTCTCCGTGCTGAACCTCGCCTCGTGGATCAGGGCGTCAACTTTGCTCTTAACTGGGGGGAAAGGGGAGTAAAAGGGTGGCTGTAGACCAGGGGTCAGCAAACTTTTTCAGCAGGGGGCCGGTCCACTGTCCCTCAAACCTTGTGGGGGGCCGGACTATATTTTGAAGGAAAAAAGAAAATGAACAAATTCCTATGCCCCACAAATAACCCAGAGATGCATTTTAAACAGAAGCACACATTCTACTCATGTAAAAACACGCTGATTCCCGGACTGTCTGAGGGCTAGATTTAGAAGGCGACTGGGCCGGATCCGTCCCCCGGGCCTTAGTTTGTCTACCCATGCTATGTAGACTGTAGGAGCCTGAATATGCAGAGAGCAACAATTGGGAGGGGAAAGGGGCAGAGGGATTTCAAGAATACCAGGCAGCTGTTAAGAGTCTGGAAGGGCAGGCAGAGCTGCATTGTGCATCTTTCCAGATAACAACTTGGGTTTAAACACCCATACAGGCTGTGTACACATTACCGGATTAAGACGCAGCCAAGTCATTCTTTTTCTCAAATTTGGATTAAAGCTGGCTGGTGGAAAAACACTTTGAACAACAGGATAGATATGGGTTGTGGCTATGCGTACACCGCTTCCCAAACCAGCGCTGGGAGCACTTTGGGCGTAGAGGGAAACAGGAGTGTGTGCACAGCCAGAGTGTTACACCGCAGGTTGAAGAAGCAGATCCTGTTCTCAAGCACAGAAGCCAGCTCTGCCACTCTCAGGTCTCCTGTTCCCTCTAATTTCTGTGTCCTTGTCCTTTGCTGCCCAAGGGGATGCGGTGAAGCAAAGATGGGTGCTGGGAGCCAGGCCACTGGGGGAACTCTTGGTTGGCACCAGACCTGCAGGAGCTCCTTTGACCTTGCCACCAACCCAGCAGGGCTGGGGGAACAGCTGCCAATCCAAAACTCCCCCCCCCCAAAAAAAAGCTTGCCACCACCTCACCCATCTTGTCCTGGCGAATGCCAGCAGGAGGATCCCACTACTGCTCCACATTCCTTGTGCACCAAGGAGAGGGAGAGTTCTCAGGTGATGCAGGTGAACAAAAATGCACAAAAAAAGTCTTTTTTTTTTTGAAAAGTTCATTAAATGGTGTGGATAGAGTGAGGGAGGGAAGACGTTGCTCGTTATCAGTGATGTGATGGGCGGTAGCCAGTCTGTCATCCTTGCACAGCTACATTTCACACTGCAATCCACAAACAGCTATAGCTGGTAGGGATGCACGGCTGCGACCATTTTGGATTCTTACTTTTACAACGTTTCTGTGTCCGCTTGTAATTTTTATTTAAGTCCCCGTTAAGATTATTCTTGCTAACATAATGCATTTTTAAAAAGGTTACTTTTAGGATTATATGCACTTTTATGCTGCTTGCCCACATTTGTGCAGTTGTTGTTTTTTAACTGCATCACAACATTTGGAGAAGTGTGAATTTTGATGGAAAGCTGCACTTTGGTTCACGCATTGTTTCGGGAAGTGGAAATTGGGTCAGCTGGCATTAGATGCAAATGGAAGCTGCTCTCTCCTCCATCCCTACTAGATAAAGAAATCACATTTTCTCTGCAGTGAACATAGCCTTGGATGACTCATGCTGCCCGGGTAAGAACCATGCAGTCACCACCCAGTCAGATGATCAGCGTGAAATTCAGGCCCCCTGATTGTCTAGTGTGGACCCTGAGCCTTTAAGCAGAGCTGGAACTTGTATACCTGCCAAGCCAGAAAACTGGCTGGTGGCATAGTGCAGGAAGAAATTCCCCTCCAGACCGCTGAGGAGCACTTCGGCCCGCTCCCTGAGGCGGCTGTCCTGGATCTTGCTCGGGACAACCTCTGTCCGGAGCTTGGCCACATTCTCCTTGAACTTTTGGTCGCACTGCAGGCAGCCCCGGAGGCTTATGGGAAGCCAGGCCAGAAGCAGAAGCTGCAAAAGCGGTCCTAGGGGAGGCATGCTGGAGCCACGCGGAATGAGAGCGCCTCAAAGTTCCGCAGGAAGTGACATCACAATGGGGGCGAGTTATGGAAGGGGCATCTGACAAGGGTTAGGTTTGCATAGGGAGAGGACAGATAGGGACACCTCAGTCCGGGGGGGGGGTGTTCTTCCTCCCGAAGGTTAGAGCCCTCTCACATCCTGCGGTTTCCAGCAACTGATGTTCAGAAGCCTACTGACTGCAACCGTGGAAGCCATCATACATTTAAAGCACACACACCACATCTAGAATCCTGGCTGCTGTAGTTTACCCTCACAGAGCTACATTTCCCAGCACCCTTGACAAACTACAGTTCCCAGAATTTTTCAGAGGGGAAAAATGTTCTTTAAGTATGTGGCGTGCATGCAGCCAGCATTTATTGATTCAGTTGTTTAAAATTTGTTCTTACTGAAGATTTTCTTGCGTAACAAAACTAGGAAGAAATACATACAGCATCTCCACTTTCAATTCATGGATTCTTTTTCAGTTTGTTTACATTTGGTACAAGACACTGTTGACATCGTAGACATTATGTGTTTGGGGGGAAAGAGAGATAGGGGAATAATGATCTTTTGTTCAACTGCCCAGTGTTTGTCCAGGGTGCAGCCAGAATTTATAAAGCGTTTTAGAGTGTTCAAAGCATTCCTCTTCCTCTTAATCTTGCTGCAATATTTACAGCATCCCTAAAAGATGGCTCACGGTATGTCTTTCAGAAGGCATGCAGGCCTCAAGGGGAAGAGCATTCCCTTAGCCTTGGGGCCATCGTTGTAAAGGCCCTGCTTCTCACATCTGCAGTTGTATGTTCCTATACCAGTGCGGCATGAGGAGCAGGCCGTGTTTTGAAGAAGGTGGGCGTGAGGGGGTTAATATAAGGAGACGAATCTCCCTCCATTCCCTGGGCAAAGTTTGCAGAGACCAAGAACTAGAAATGGAGATGGGGTGCCGAAAAAACCACAGCACGGCCCTTTGGTCACTTCTCAGATGGCATCTTTACTTGATTCTCTCCTGCCCTGGGTGGAAACAGCCCGGCCAAGCCTGGCACCGCCTGGAAGAGCTGGGAGGTGGTGTCGTGGGCATCAGTTTGACGCAGGTAGCAGAGAAATGCCGTCCACAGGAAGGAGCAAGCCCCCACGTAGGCTGTGCGCAGCAGGGGTGGCACAAGAGCAAAATTCACTGCCTGGTGGAGGGAGAGAGAGAGAGAGAGATGAGGAGGGAGGAACATAAACCGCCAATCCTTCTTGGACAGCAGCACATGCTCTGATTGTTCCTGGTATTATTTTATTGACTGATTGATTATACAATTCCCAAAGAGCTCAGGGTGCTGTACAAGGCGGTGGTTGTTCTCCCCAGCCCCCAACTTCCATTTCATCCCAACAACAACAACCCTGTAAGGTAGGCCAGGACGCGAGAAAGTGGTCACCCAGGGAGCTTTGTGGGGATTTGGAGCTCCCTGACCTTCGTCTGACATGGCAACCACAACACTGCAGTGGATTCTGTAAAGGGGATGGTCAGCTTTATCACCCAGGTTTCTGGGCTCTTTGCTTCCTTATGAAACTAGCTTCTTCAAGAAAGCGAATGATCCCTAATGACTGTAGGAATGCATCTGAACCATCTGAGAGGTTGGGGTCATCAGCATCCCATGGTCTTGGGCAGGCATAGGCAAACTCTGGCCCTCCAGATGTTTGGGACTACAATTCCCATCATCCCTGACCACTAGTCCTGTTAGCTAGGGATGATGGTAATTGTAGTCTCAAACATCTGGAGGGCCAGAGTTTGCCTGTGCCTGGTCTTGGGGAAGGTAGCTCTGTGTGCCTTTTAGACTACCGGTGATACCTCTTGTGCTTATCGCATACTTGTTTGTTGTTCTTTCAAATATCTTATAAACTGCTCTTTACAGCCAAACCCTCAGAAAAAGAAGTACATAAAAAGAGTGCTCCTGTATGCGCTAGGCACACAAAGTAGGCGTACGATTATTTCGGGGAAACTGCTCTGAGTCACACAAGTCATTAACAATCTAAAGAAAAGGCAGCAATGAAGAGAGAGAGATGTTCAAGGCCCTCTTAAAAGCCTGTGCTGAAGCGGTCAAGCATAAGCCAATCACAAGGAAGTTCCATAATCGTTGGGCCACCACGGAAAAGTCCCTGTCTCTTATGTATGCTAGCCTAACTGGCCTTACCAACGGGCATGTGAGCAGGACCTCCAAAGCAGATATTAGCATATATGAAGGTCATAGGGTGAAGGCCATCCTTGAGATCACCCAGATCTCCAGTCAGTCTCTTTTAGGGCAATCCTTCTCAAAGTCCATGGGCTCAGTGGTAGAGCACCTGCTTTGCGTTCAGAAGGTCCCAGGGCTGGGAGAGATCCTTGCCTGAAACCCTGGACAGCTCCTGCCAATCAGCATAGACTATACTGAGCTAGGTGGACCAATGATATGACTGGGTACAAGGCTGCTTTCCTGATGGCTATTTGGGGCAGGTCCCAAAATATCAACCACTCTGTTGAACTTCTGGCACTTTCTGAAGCCTAAAACAAAACAAAACAACCCAAACCCAAACCAAACCACCCTCCAGTAGGCTTTCTAACTGAATTCTGTTTTTATAGATTTAATTCATTTGTAATCTTATTGTTTTAGGTCTCCTGAGAGACAGCTTTGATTAAGCGGTGTACAGATTGTTGAAATAAATAAACAATTTCAATACATTCCCGGCAGGCTTTCAAAAATCCAGTGTATTCCTAGGGCAACTGGGAAAGAAGTGATGCATTTCAAATATTTTAGGTTTGCTTTTCAGCAGCTCCCTGACTAGCAAAAATGAAGCAGGGGAATGTTTTTCCTAATGCTTTATCCCTTTATGACAGGAAAAACCTGCCTGTCTCTCTTGCAGTTGTCTATTGGCACAGGAGCTCTGTTGGGGGGTGGGGGGAGCTGGCAAGGTTTCCAGCTCATTCAGGGAAGGAAAGCACGGACCACAATACGTACCTGGAACAAGGTCCAGCACAGCACACCAGCCTAAATTGGGGGGAAATAAATAGCAAATTTAACATAAGGGTTAAAGATGAAGTTCCTCAACAGTGTTTGGATTTCGCACTAAGGAGTTGCAGGACTTTGCTGCGGAGTTCACAGCAGCTACTCCTGAGGCACCAAGAGTCAGAAGCTACCTTAACAAAATGGCTGACAGATTGTGCACCAAAGTATTATTCTTGTTATTTATTAATCGGCTTCCAGATCTGTCCCAAGGCGAGGCACAAAATATAACAGAAAAGTCACAAAAATAACCGAAGATTAGTTTAAGAACAATACAAAATGGACACACACACCCCAGCAGAGTCCTGTCCAACCAGCTGGGAAATCTTGACAGGAGGAAAAAAATATCTTCAGTTGTTTCTGGGAAATTCAGATAGTGGGCCCCTGCTACTATTGAAAAAATCCGGGAAAGAGAAGATATTCCAGCAGACTTTAGGGATGCCAAAATTATCAATCTCTTTTTAAAAAGTGACAGAACTGATTGTGGAAACTATTGAGGCATCTCTCTATTAGCTGCGGCCGGCAACATTGTTGCAAGGATCTTAGCAAACCGTCTCTTAACAATATCCAAGGTGACCCTTCCTGAATCCCAAAATGGTTTCCGGCCGTCTTGGGGGACAGTGGACGTGATTTTCACCGCTCGATAGTTTCAAGAAAAATGCAGAGAGCAAAACAAACCCCTGTATATGGTGTTTATTGACCTGACTAAGGCTTTCGACAGGGACGCAGGTGGCGCTGTGAGTTAAACCACAGAGCCTAGGGCTTGCCGATCAGAAGGTTGGCGATTCAAATCCCCACGATGGGGTGAGCTCCCATTGCTCGGTCCCTGCTCCTGCCAACCTAGCAGTTCAAAAGCACGTCAAAGTGCAAGTAGATAAATAGGAACCGCTCCAGTGGGAAGGTAAATGGCGTTTCCGTGTGCTGCTCTGGTTCGCCAGAAGCAGCTTAGTCATGCTGGCCACATGACCCGGAAGCTGTATGCCGGCTCCCTCGGCCAATAAAGCGAGATGAGCAACGCAACCCCAGAGTCATCCGCAACTGGACCTTATGGTCAGGGGTCCCTTTACCCTTTACCTTTTAAGGCTTTCGACACTGTAAATTGTAATGCCCTGTGGACTGTCCTTCTGAAAATTGGCTGCCCAGATAAATTTGTAAACATCATTCGGCTCCTCCATGATAATATGACAGCAACAATTGCAAATAACAATGGCTCTCAAAGTGAACCATTCTCAGTGGGATCAGGTGTTAAACAGGGTTTCCCCAACTCTATTTATTATTTTCATTGCCATGATCCTACACTTTGTCAAAGGGAAACTCCCCACCAGAGTAGAAATCAGTAACCCTCCAGGTCCCAACCCTTCCCGGGATACTGAAAAACTAGTCTTTATGGTGCCACAATGCTCTCTTTTTTTCTGTTTGTGTGTTTCTTTGCTGTAACAGCCTAGCACAGAATCTACAGAGCTGTTATTATTACCTTGTACGTTGGCCAAAACTTCTCCTGCAGCTTCCCAAATATGTTGCTTTCACCATCCAGGAGAGAGAGACCTGAGAAAGGGAGGGAAGCAAACTCATCACCTCCAAAGACCTCTCCAGACCCCTCCAGACCCCTCTTCACCCCTGTTGTCTCTCACCGGTATAAAAAGCCCCGATGGTGACTGGTGCAGCGATGACCTGGTCGCAAGTGACCTTTGCTATCACCATGGTCACCTTCGCTCCTGGAAAAAGGCGCTCCAGGCTCCGGAACCAGGCGTAATTGAAGTTGGCGTGGAATGTGAACCCGACCAGCGCCACTTTTGCCGTCTGATTCAGATCCAAACCGTTGTGTCTGCGGGGATCCTGGCTCGGCTTAGCCAACTTCTGCTGGGCTGCATCTGCGGCTGAAAACAGTGTGCCGTAGGCAACAACATTCGCCAGCCAAGGATGGCGATGCACCAGACCAAGCAAGGGGTGCATTTGAATACAGAGCTGGTGTGGCGGAAGTGCAGCTCCCCAAGATGGCCCCTAGGTGGT